GTTATATCTAAGATGGGATACTCGGCCTTGCTACGGGACTACCGCGGGGGGGGGGGTTCGGCGGTGATATGGGGTGTCGCATACTTTACGCCTGAGCGAAGTGTGAAATGTGGGGGTTCTTGTGCTGTTGAGACGGATGCACATCTGGAAGCTGTGATTACTTTGTAGGGATTCAAGTAAATCGCGTACATACATATGTTCAGTCTTGCATTAGGATAGCTTTACTTAGTTCGTATTGTCACATCGATAAAAGGAGGCAGTAAAGCTTCGCGTCTACGACGATCTAGTATTGACATGCTTTGAATAAAAAAACAGGCTCAGAAGTGGAAGTAAAAGAGTGTTAAATAATTTGCACAAATGATAGGTATCAACCGAGGAGAGTCCTTACAAGACTCAAAGATAAACGCCTTGTCCCTTGAGAACGCCGCCCAGAACAACCGCAATGTCAGAACAACCGAATCAGTATAGAGATGGTGGCATCTGTGATGTCAGAACACCATAGTTTTGACATCCACAACGCCCCAAAGCCAAGCCCAAAATCCAATAGATAAACCATGCATGTTTAAAAATGCTAACAGGAATATTTGAGCACAATAATAAGCAGGAAAACACTTATCACCAATTCCAGGTCCGGCTGGAAGCGGCAAAGACAGGAGGTTTCCACTGGAGACGGGCCGGATCGATTTTGCGCGCGCCCTTGATCTCCTCCTTCTTGAGACGCTTCTCGTGCTCCTCCACGACGTGGTCCGTGAGTACTATAACCCAATTACCCTTCTGCAGAGAGAGTTAGTACATTATAACGCAGTATATATGATGTAGTGCGGTGCACACTTGGAATTTCGAACTTACGTGGTATCGGAGCATGTTGAATACAACCAGAGTCTCGTGAACATCCTTCTCAGTCATGGAGGTGAGCACCGCGAGCTCATTCTCGCTTATGGCTTCTCGGTTTGGCTCAATCAGTAACTCCACCAGCGTCTCGCGCCAGTACTGTCGATAACCAAGCAGACCCAGATCGCTAAGTGGCTTCTCAGGAGAGCCGAGCTTGCCTTCGCGCTTGCTGAGCTCGTAGCTGAACGAGATAAGCAGACGACCGAAGCCGCGGCGCTGATATTGCGGCAAAGTCATGATACACGCCAGGTTGTACCCTTCAGCAGAGTCCTTCTCCTTGGAGAAGTAGCCGACGAAATGGCAGCCGGTCTCGTCGCGCGTTGTCATGCAGTAGAACAGGAACGGGTCGACGTCGTAGTAAAGCGTCTTGTGATCGAGGAAGAGCTTAGTCAGGAGACACAAGTTCCGGCACCAGGTGCGCTGGCGACGACCATCGACTTCAAAGAAGGAGATATAGTCGTCGCGGTAGATCTCATTACCGGGTGGGTGGGTCAATGTGCATTTTGCGCGATGGCGCTCGAAAGCACGCTTGTTGTCGAAGTAACTGAGACAAAACTCGTCAATGTACACAAGGTCGACGTCCGAGAAGGAATCCGGGTACGGTGAGAAGTACCACGGCTCGACGTCGTACTTGCCCATCTGGAGACGGGTCAAGTTTCGCACGCGATGGATCTCTGTCGGGTTCTGTGTCATACTACCACCTGTGCGGAGTCGCTCGATTTCCTCTCCGCGCGTAATCACCTCACCTGTTACTGTTTGGACTTGGTCTTCTTTTACTGATTTGCTTTCCGCTGCAGCATCTGCCATCTCGAAGTCCTCTGACTCGGTGGCCCTCGGCGTGCCGACTGTTGACACAGCCTCGGATGGGAACATCGACGTGTCTCCTCCAGGCGTATCGGCACCGAGATTTTCTTTCCCTCCAGCCTTCGAGAGCCGTGATATCTTGCCGACATTCACGTTCTTGCCACCCAGGATATCGGGGGTTTGTGACAAATCGCGGCTCTCAGCCCGGGCACGCTTATTCGCACTCACATTCTTGCTGGGTGCCGCTTTGCTGGCAGCAGCGGTCTTCTTCTTATCAGCTTTGTCTGGCTGGGGCCACTCAACTTCTTGGGAGAGATCGATGCGAGCAGCCGCAACCCATTCTGGAAAAGGCAGTAAGAAAAAGTTCAACTTGAATCCATGCACTTGCTGGAGTGGGGAACTTACCATCAAGACGCTTGTTGAAATCAACATAGTGTACGCTGGGATCTATATAAGTACCACTTCAAAAAGTACAGACATGAAGCAGACAGAGCCAAACTTACTAAAAGGAAGGGCCATCCTTCCGCTGTCTAATGGACAGAATCTCAGCTTTTCGCAGTTCTCCATCCTACCCAGAATAGTCAGTATCACAGTCCAAACTGATTTATAATCACGTGAGTGGCCACCAAAATCTGCGACCACAGGGTCTAAACGAACCTTCTGCACCATAGCCTTCACACCAATTCTATGAGGCTAGTTAGCATCTGCGACCGACAAAAGTTGACATTAAAACCTCAAATATATATTCTTTCGGATATAAAAAAGTGACATACCTGATGGTGTTGAGTGTGGCGAACCCCTTGTCAACGGGGTCGGGCGTCCCCGTCGTCTCCCCGTGGGAATCTCGGACGCCCATTTTGTTGGACTGGCAGTAGAAACCGAATCAATATCAGAGATGGGAATGATGGAATCGAGCAGATACTGTGGTCATCTGGTGATGGGAAAATGAGCGGGAAAGGGAGCAGACTGGGTTGTTGTTATGTAAGCTTTTCCGCATCGGGGTGCCCGAATCTATACAGGATTTTGAGATGCATCTTTGTGTTGAAGATTTGAGTTACTATTACAAGAGGGAGAGTTACTTTCATTTTATTGCTAAAACTAATCCAAATGATAATGCCATAAACACCGTCTCCTGTTTTGGGATTTGAAACCCCTTTCATGTTGCCATGCCATGATTTTGTAGATGAAATACAAAGCCCAAACCAACGCCAAGCGCCTTGCAATGAATCAGAGACGAAGAGAAGCCAAGAAAGAAGCTATATGTTTTAGCCAAAAGGCTAGTTAAGGGCGTCTTTCTCATGATCCTTCAAACTTCCGCTTGACACCATTCGCATTCGCAGACGGTGGCATAGCCTGGGCTCTCCGTTTTTTCTCCTCGTCTCCAGCAGCCATGTTGTGCTGGCGCTGCTTCCAGGCGGTTTTGATGAGGGGAGCAAGGCGGATGAGATCGTCTTCGGTGACGCGGTCTTCAATACTTTCAAGAACCTTTTCAACGGTGGAAATATGGTTTGCATCGTTCTTGTCCTCACGAATACGATAGAAGCGCCAGCGTCCTTCCATATCTTTAGCGCACTCAACGATAATATCATCAAGAGGAATGCGCAGAGCTTTGAGATCTTCCCATTCCTTTGGCTCAAGGAACATCTCTCCAAAAAGACGGTACTCGCCAGCATTGAGCATAACGAACAGGTGGCAGGTCGGGATAGCGTCGTAATCCACGTAGGGCTGGGTGATGCCCTCGGCCTCATCCTCAGTATCTGGCTCAAGTGTCGGAAACTCGAGGCGCATGCGGAAATCAACGGTGTTCTCTTGAGGTGGCTTCCATTTGAGGATGTGCTCGTCGGTGCCGATGCGGTACGGAGTACTGCGGCAAGTAAAGATGAGGCCGTCGTTACCGTGAATGCGCTTGACCTTAGGGATAATCTCGCGGAACATCATCTCAATTCCGTAACTGAATTGCGTGGATTTATCCTCGACTGCAAAGGGGCGGTGATTCTTCTCTTCCGGGAATTTGCGGTACATGGCATTGTATGGCCTGAGCACCTTTTCCTTGAAGTACGCCAGCCGCTTGTCCAGGGTACGGTGCATCAAGCTTTGTCCATCCAGTACCAGACAGTCGAAGACCAGATATTTCAGCTGGGTGGTTCCATCCTCGTAGGTGTCGTTGACAAGCTCGCCGTCAACCAGGGTATCGACGTGGTATCCCTGGAAACTTTCATCGTTTGGCAGGGGGAAGTGTAGGCCAGGTACGTAGCGGTAGTCATTCTTGCGATCGATCAGGTAGTGAATCTCTGGCATATCGGAGTCAGGATCTCCGCGCGCAAAGTACATCAGGCAGCGGATGCCATCGGTCTTTTCGCAGACAAAGTAGTCCTCCCGCTGCAGCTCGCTGAGGTGTCGCGACGAGAAGCTGACCGGCTGTGCTCCAGGAAAGTTGAGGTTGTTGCGCCCGAGGAGTTTGGCGACTTCGCGGCGAAACTGATCAGCTAGGTCATGGTCGGCTTTAATGCCTATCGCGTCTAGATCGGGGACGGCGTGGCCCATTGTGAAGGATCGAAGGTTCAGAGGAGCAGGCTTTATGGTAGAAGAAACTCAGTAATAAGACTGGAAATCTCGGGCTTGATCAATAAGACTCGGAGAGCTTGGTGGTGGAGTGATGGCAAATGCGAAGGGCGCTCGCCCGCAATCGCGACAATATAAACCAGACGCTTTTCAGCTGCAGGTGGCCTTGAAGAGAATGAATAAAGAAGATCACCCAAACGTCATACTAGTATGGCTCACTTTGCTTAGACTGTCAGTTTAAAAAAGACAATGCATGGCCGGCGAACGGAATGAACTGAGAGATTCTCTGATGCCTCAGGCACATGTAACGTGATCTGAAAGGCTTCACCAGGCCATAGAGATGAATATCCTGCATAGTGTATTTGTTGGAAAGCACCAAGTGACTTCATATGGTATTTATGCCGATAGAAACATCAGACAGAACCCAATAAGGAGGAAAGTATTCAATTGCAACTACTTTCGAAACTTCAAATGTACATATCACGCCAGCCGGGGTATCATATCGTCACCTTTCAAAGCAGACAGAACCAGCCTGTACCCATGGCCTATCCAGGGAAATCGAAGAGCGAAAAAGATGCGAAGAAACCGAAGAAGAATGGTGGGATGGTTAGTAGTCCCCCTGCACCCTTGAACGCCAGCATCCAGTATCCAGTACACGCAGTAAAAGGTCAAACCCAACTGCAAACGAAAAGAGAGTCGTCATAAATCATCGCCTGATATGCGGAAGTCCACTTAAAACCTAATCAAGAGGCTCCAGTGACCGGAGTTTTGCGGTTACCTGGAACAGCGGACCTCTTGCCTACATCCATTCCACCAGCGGAGACATCAGGCTCCCCATTGGCGTCAACAGATGATGAGTCCAAATCGGCTGCCACAGTCGAGAAAAGAATGCCACCGAAAAGGGGTTGGCTGTCGTCGTTGGAAAAAAGTCCACCGCCGTTCCGAACTCCCATGGCATGCGACATTTGCTCCTTGATACGGACGTATCGGTACTTCGACTTGGTGGTAATGATGGGGTGGCGAACAAGGGGCTGGGGCGCAGAACGGGCAATGGCAGCCATGACAGCATCTCTTTCTTCGTCTGAGTCAATAGGACCGGTGTTCTCGATATCTTCCTGTAGAGGAGCATTGGCATCGATCGCAGCCTCTGTAGTTCGAACGGGTTAGTCATCTCGTGATCTATACCTAGTGAGCAGAAAAAAGATAACATTGACTTACTCTGCTGGCGAGCCTGGTTCTTCTTCTGATATTGCTGGAGAAGCATATCATAAGGCAGTGTCCGGCCAGGAACCGAGCGTTTGGCCCCCATTGAATGGCTTTTGCAGGTCAAGGAACGAGCGCACTGCGCGCCATTGGGAAGAGTAACACCACACTGTTTTTCGACATCGACAGGGCCCTTTGGCTTGGCTGTCTTTTGCTTAGGCTCATCCTTCTTCTTCTTCTTCTTTGACTCTCTGCCGTCGTCCTCATCGGCCTTGCGCTTCTTGCCCTTCTTGTTGCCGTCCTCGATACCCTTAGTGGCGCTCTTCTTGGCGCTCTTGTGGCCCATGTTGTGGGATTCTCCGTCGGCCTTGTCGGGGCCGTCATCGTCTCTATCGTCGCCGGCCTTCAGGCGATTGGCCGCGTCGCGAGCTTCCTTCTTCTTACGCGCCTTCTCCTGCTTGGCCTTCAAGCATCCGCGGACATGATCCGCTGCGGTTTGCTTGAGAGTGGGCCGCTTGCAATGCTTGCAGATTACGGTTTCAAGGAGGTCATCTTCACGTGGCTTGCCGGTTGGGAACACAGCGACGACTTTGCTGTCGAGGGTTGGGAGGGGAGAGGCAGTAGGGGAAGTATCGATTGGGCCATCTTTGGCCTCTATGTGTTTGTCAGTATCACCAATGCCCAGTGAAACATGTCTAGGGAGCTGTACCATCTGCCTTCTTCTTGGTCGACGCCTTGGAAGTCTTCTTCACCTTGATCTTGCCGAGTTTGGTATCCTTGTCCGTAAAGGTGTACCCGGACGCATCAACCAGACTTCCCCGTCCTGTAAACAAAAAAAGACTTAGCTCAGACCTTTCACGGATTTGAGATACGCCGAGTTCGATGTCAAAGTATCCCAAGTGTTTTGCGCTTTTGACAGGAACCAGGTATTGCGTACCTTGACCGGGGTCACCATTGTTCGCCATGGTGAGCGCAAACTGAAAGAGCACTGGAAGACAGAACGCTTTCTTGTCACTCAGAAAGCCTTAGAAATGGCGTGAAGGGTAGATATCAAGGAATGAGTTCGGTCTCCGGAGTCAAGGTCGGGCTGGGGCTCCGCATTAGGATTGGTCACGTGCCATCTATTGATCTATTAAATGGTCATTCTGGCCCCTATTGTGCTTTAAGCGTAACATTTTCAGTTTATTGTTGAAAATGGCCAATGGATAGGGGTATTCATGTATATTCAGCCAATCTCTTACGATCGTACATTTTGATCAGTCGGATCAATCAGACAGCGACTCTTTCTAGGCAAACCAGCACTACCAAGCTTCCGGCCCTAAATACATTGTCTGTTGTTGTCTGAACCCAAAAAAAATCACATTATATCGTACACATGTTTTTGAGACAAAGATCATGAATGATTCGCAAAGCAAAGGCTGCTGTTCGTACCACCAAAGCCAAAGCTATTTGTCAAGGCAACATCAATCTGTCGTGACTGGGGATCTTTCGGCGCATAGTTGCAATTGAACCCATCAGCCAGGCGGTCTAGATTGATAGTAGGGGGCATAATGTTCTGTTCCTTGTTAGCAGAAACTACACCACAGTGAGTACACAACTGTAACTTGCCTCATGGATTGCAAGCACACTGATCAAAGCTTCTATAGCACCAGCACCGCCAAGCAGATGACCGAGGGCACCCTTTGTGCTGCTTACGTTCACATCAGCAGCCTTGTGTTTGCCATCAGGGCCCAGCAGAAGCGCCTTGATAGCAGCGTTCTCAGCAGCGTCGCCGACAATGGTTGAAGTTGCATGTGCATTGACATAGTCAACCGCAGCAGGGCGTAACTGGGCTTGCTTCAGCGCCTTTTTCATAGCCATAAAAGCCCCTTCGCCATTTTCTTTAGGTGAGGTCATATGGTGTGCGTCGCTGGAGCAGCCATATCCTTTGAGTTCTGCATAGATCCGCGCCCCTCTTGCGAGGGCATGTCCTAGCTCCTTTACTCCGGATTTTAGATTTGGGTTGTCGTTTGCGCAAAAGACACAGGACACATACCTCGAGAATCAATACAGCTGCACCTTCGCCAACCACAAATCCCGCACGGTCGGCATCGAAAGGCCGTGATGCCTTCTCTGGGGTGTCGTTGAATCCCGTCGCCAGACTTCTTGCACGCCCAAAACCGCCAATGGCCAATGGATGAATACAGGACTCGGCGCCACCGGCGATCATCACATCAGCATCACCGCAGGCAATGAACCGAGCTGCATCGCCAATGGAATGAGCACCAGTCGTGCAAGCCGTCGTTGCAGAATGGCTCGGGCCCATGAACCCGTACTTCATGGAAATATGGCCAGCGCCAAGGTTGATCAGCAGCTTTGGCACGAACAGTGGATTGACCTTCTTGTAGCCCTGTGCAACGAGTGAGTTGTAGATTTTCTTAGGTCATTATGATAGAAGGTTCTTACTCCCTTGTCGTAGGCTATGACCGTGCTGTAGATTTCATCAAAGTTCCCAATTCCTGATCCGAGGCAAACTCCCTATCAAATGATTAGCATAGCCTTCAAACCAGCACACAATCCCACACATACCGTCGCCTCCCTCTGCTCAAAAGGCTCCGGCTTCCAGTTTGCATCCTGAAGCGCCTCTTCTGTCGCCGCCATGGCATACTGCGCAAACTTGGCCATCTTCCGCTCCTCCTACCCACCCCGAATCATCAGCATTGCAAATTATCAAGAAAAAAAAATTCTCAAGGTGAGGGCAGCTGAGGGAAAACATACAGTCCGACTCAACCATTCAGAGGCAGTCCACCCCCCGTTCTCGCGACTGCCCTGTGGCACAACAGCGGCAACCTGACAGGGCTGCTCGGCATAGCGCTCATCGCGATCTTTCACATTAACAACGCCGCAATGGCCATCTAGCAAGCGTTTCCATGTACGTCGAAACCCTGTAGCCAAGCACGGTGTTAGTCACAGTAACATTCACAGATTCCAAACACAAAAGTACAATCAAACACGTATAGTGAACTCGGCATGTATACGGCGGGTGCTGTCTCTTATCTCCGCATCGGACCGCATGTCCTCCGTCATTGGCTGTCACAACCTTCCCTTTCCGGCCTGGGAAGTGGGGAACGTGGAGGGAGCTCGAGAGCCCAGGTTCCGGGGATATCCTCCCGGAAAACCAGAGAAGGGCAGAGTGCATTCGCGCAGATTGTCTTGCTGACAGATGGAATTGTGCAATTGCGTAATTGCACATCGTACCCGATAAGCCCAAATGAGCTTCAAGGACGACCTTGGAGTTCTCAATGCCAACAGAACGAAAAAATGATTGAAGCAACTCACCTACACCTAGTGGTGTCACCGCCCCAAGACCAGTTACAACAACTCGCCGCATTGCATCGTCAATAGCTTTGTATCAAAGCTATCAGAGCTATCAGAGGAGTTGTCGAAAGAAAGAAGCCGAAAAGCGGGCCAAAGCCAAGAAGGGAAAGTCTGCACGATCGGGACAACCCTATCTGTTCGCCTTTTCCTTTTACAACACTACTGCTTCAGGAAATTTGACGAGACAGAGTCATGTAGAATATTTATATATACATATATATATACATGTATATTCTCATTTAACCTTTTTTTTCTATTTCACTCCATAAATCCAGCCATGCCTACATGGAAATTCTTCCTTACATTGGCTTTGGCCGGCTCTGCGGTCTCCTGCGCGCACCACGATAACGGCAAGGTAGTCCCCGAACATGAGCGGGCGGAATTACTTAAGAAGTGGGACCAGGAGGTATGATGATACTTCAATTTCCAAGAAATGAGGTTCAAACGATTCCTAAAATGTAGTTATCCAGTGGTCCTTCTCCGGTATTGCCAGCTTCGCCCATCTAAAGCCAGTCAAGTGTCTGATCGAGCCCGATGAGCACTACGACATTGCTATTATCGGCGCGCCGTTCGATACGGCCGTTAGCTACCGACCAGGTACGAAAGCAAATTCATCCCAAACCCCAAAAAGGCAGTGCCAACAAAACCTCCAGGAGCCCGCTTCGGGCCACGCGCAATCCGCGCCGCGAGTGCACGCCAGATGGCCGCAACAAGCTACAACACGCGCGCGGGACTGAACCCCTACCAATCGTGGGCTAAGATCACCGACTGCGGTGACATCCCCATCACCCCTTTCGACAACGGGCTCGCCGAGCGCCAGATGTACGAAGCGTTCCTAGAGCTCGGGTCACGCAGTGTCATGAACCAAGCACCCAAGGAGAACGGGATCGGCGCGAAGCACCCGAAGCTTGTAACGCTTGGCGGAGACCACAGCATTGCGCTGCGTGCTCTGCGTGCTCTGCATCAGATCTACCAGAAGCCGATCACAGTTGTGCACTTCGATGCGCACCTTGACACGTGGAATCCTGTGCGGTACAGCGCGTACTGGCAGTCCGAGCAGACGCAGTTCAACCACGGGTCGTTTTTCCACAAGGCGAGTCGGGAGGGATTAATTTGTAATTCCACTTCCGCGCATGCTGGACTGCGGACGCGCCTTACTGGTGTTGACGTGGGGGATTACACGAACCCAGGGCCCGAGCAGGGATTTATTCGGATTCATGCGGACGATATTGATGAGCTTGGACCTATGGGTATTGTTGAGACGATAATTGCCCGTACGGGGCTGGACCCTGAGCAGCCTGTTTATCTTTCTGTTGATATTGATGTTTTGGATCCGTCTACGGCGCCGGGAACCGGGACGCCTGAGCCTGGCGGTTGGACGATGCGTGAGTTTATTCGGATTCTGCGTGGGTTGGAGAAGTTGAATATCGTGGGTGCGGATATTGTGGAGGTTTCGCCGGCGTATGATAATAAAGGGGAGACTACTGCTCTTGCGGCGGCGCAGGTTGCTTTTGAGATTATTACTAGTCTTGTTAAGTCTGGTGTTGATGAGGAGCTCGGCGGGTGGTATGGGTGGATGGAGCAGCAGGGAGTTCGGGAGAAGGAAGGTAAGGATGAGCTTTGAATTTGAGTATTTAGATCTACGACATGTATGTGAAATGAGGTGAAGACCCGAGGACCTAGAAGCTCTTGAATTTGATTTCTTGATACCTGTAAATTGGAGTGATGTCATGGCAAAGCATAAAACCCAGGTGAGCTCATTGAGCCTATGACATCAGAGACTTGAACCATAGGAGGGAACCTTGAAAAGTACAATATCAAAATGCTACAAGCTGAGGAACAGGTACCCTTTCCACCCCACAAAGACTTGATAGAACTGGTTGAATTGGAACCCATAATCGGCAACTTTCTAAGACCCAGAGATAACGTTGCTCTTCAGTGAGACAAAATTCGAAAGACTGCAATAGATCAGTCGCAGAAAGAACACGAACGGAGATGCTTGTATCAAGAACGCGCGCGCATAGAGAGTAATGGCGATAGTAGATCAGATTGGAATAAAAGGCGAAGTCACACAAAGGCCAAAAAAAGACAAAGAGAAGAAGCCGGATCTGCAAGAGAAGGGCACAGGAAGCTCAAATTCATAGTCCGGGGGTCACAAAGCTGGGCGGGTACATGAATAGCACGCAAGGAAGCAAAACGAAGACAGGGGGATATGGGGGTGATCACAGTGACGGAAACTGTCCGCCAGCCAAAAGCCAAAACACGACGCCCTGACGTCCAACGCCGAGAGAGACGGCTAAAGAGGTGAAAGAGCCGGGTGTGTAGAAGGTACTAGGTAGGATGCGGGGAGTGTAGTCGACACGACAAAAACGGGAGAAGAAGGTCAAAATTGCTGTCGCTGTAGTTGGTGAAGGGGATGAATGAGGGTGGAGGATCGGGGAAATTGAAAGGCGAGAAGAGATGAGTAGCAACAGTAACTCGAGAGCAGGTCGTTGAAGATGGCAGATAGACGCAGCCAGGCGAAGCAAGAAGAAAAGAAGAAGAAATAACCCAAAAAAACCGGGACACAGCAGGTTAGATAGGCTAGAGCTGGAACCGGGATATGCGAACAGAGACAGAATGAAAGAAAAGGGGATCAAGAAAAAGCACAGAAGCTATTTTCAACCGGCAAACGTAGATATGGAACGCTTCAGATAGCATCGCTAACCATAATACAAGACCATACTCCCCCTTTTTTTGTCGCTGAATTTGACATCCCAGAAAACCAGTCCAGCCAGAGATATTTGCCGCCCAATAGAATGTGAAAGAGTAGAAAAAGCGAAATAAACAGGTTCATTCCATCGTAGCTGCTTCGAGGCGCGCATCAACTAGGCATCAACCCAAGTGCGACAGATCCATCGCACTCGGACCAACCTGTTGCGGTAAGTCCGTGAATGATAAATTCACAGCAAGAGGCAGCCTTTTGACTTCTTCTTGGGGGCGGGTTCGAGTGCCGCGACAATAGCCTAGAAAATTAGAAGGAACGTGTCAGTAGCGGTGTGGAGATTTGGGGGTAGCAAGATATGGAAGATTCGGCGTACCTCATCAAAGACATCCTTCAGCTTATACTGTGTCAGGGCGGAGCACTCGACGTATTTAACAGCGCCAAGTTCCTTAGCCATCCGGTCACCGTCTTCCTTGCGAATGGGGGACATCTTCTGGCGGGCGAGCTTATCCCGGACTCCGGCATCGTCGCGCAAATCGGTCTGGGTACCAACGATCAAGCAGGGAACACCGGGGCAGTGGTGGTGGACTTCGGGGAACCACTTTTCGCGAACGTTTTCGAATGAGGCAGGTGAGGTGACGGAGAAGCAGACCAAGAACACGTCAGTCTGCGGGTAAGAGAGCGGGCGCAGGCGATCGTAATCCTCTTGACCAGCGGTATCAAACAGTCCCAGGGTGTAAGGCTCATCGCCGATCCTGCAGTTGGAGAGTGATCGGTTAGAACTGTTTCTTGGAGGCTGGACTGACGTATGTAATTTTTTTTTTCGTCGGGGTAGGTTTGGAGGGGAGGTTTGGAGGGGGATTCGGGGGATGACTTACATCACGGTCACGGCGTAGTTGTCAAAGACGGTGGGGACATATTCCGAAGGAAACTTGTTCGTTGTGTATGAGATGAGCAGACAGGTCTTTCCTACTGCACCGTCCCCCACCACGACACATCTGGGTTGGGGTTAGCCATGAGATCTGGAGGGGGGGTTTCGCCTCGGCAAGAATGGGGGGGAGGAGGAGGAGGAGGAGGAGGGGAGGGGGGGGGAATAGTGAAGTGGAATAGGATAGCATACTTGATGGTAGCGACGACCATTTTGAATAGATGAGAAGTGTTGATGTAAGAGTGATAGGGAAGAAGAGTGTGGGAGACAAAAAGGGAGGAAGAAGCTGTGATCTGGATTGAATGGGGCAACCCGCAGAGTATGGAGTCTAGACACGGTGCTAGTCTCGATACACGGTCTGTACAGCTTCTCGTTTGGTGAACAGCCTATGGTATTTATTAGTTAGGGGGATTTTTCTTCGATCTCAAATGATCTTTTCTATCATTTTTTCTTTCACTCTGATCTGGGATCTAACCTCCGTGAATTAAAGAGACTCTCTGTCGATGTCATTCATTACTGCCAAGACAACGGTGTCAGTATCTCCCTATCTCCCTCGACTCCTAGTTTATAAACTACATGTATTAATCTCAACGGCCAACCGCTGTCGGTTAAGCGCTGTGATCCATAATTCTTTAATTTCTAGACTCGAATTTAAGGTCTCTAGGGGGATCACAGCTTTGAAACAAAGCCCAGTATCTCGACATATGGACAGAGCACATAAGTCCTCAACACCAACTACCCCAATTTTACCAATGATCGGTCTCAGTATCAGATAAGGGCCGTATAAAAGTGCCGTCGAGGAACAAAAGGAGAAGGTATCCTTCGGAGTATTAACCCCCTTTTCCCCTTCGAACTATTTTCTTTCACCTATTTCCCGTGACCCCAAGAGAACGAGAAAGAAAGAAAAGAAAAAAAAGCAAGGTTATAAAAAAAAAGACCCCAATTTCCAATTTCAATCCCGTTTCACCATTCACGGGTTCCCGGTTCCATCTTCCCTCGGCCCTAAATCTCCCCTTTTGCAAACCGCCATTTTACGTGTGAGAGATCTCAGAGCCTAGATAGATACGGTAAAAAAATACATCCTTGGTTTTATACACTATATGTTGTACAATCCAAATTCAATCATGCATGCTCTAGTTCTCATCTACTCCGTGATCCGTCAGTGGCTTGTTCCCGTCACAGCTTGGCAGCCAGATCCAGATCCAGTCTCTCTACAATGGTCGTCTTCACTAGGTTGGCTGAGGCCATTACCCAGCTAGGTGACTCACATTACTAACCACGCCTTCTTATTATGGTTGACAGCTGACGGCTGACATGGCATCCGTGTATTGCAGCGTGCGGCACCTATACGCAGGATATCCGTAGAGGATACATTTACAGGAAGCACATGCACATGTCAGGGGTGCTCAGCAAGTTCAATTCGTATTTTGTATCCTCAAGTCCTTCCGTTGTGGTATCTGGTATGCATGCAGATATGCAGGTACATGCACGGGTAATATACGTGGTATACGAGCTGAATAAGGGCCGGGGGAGAGAAGAGGATGGGGTGGCGGAAGGAGAAGAAAGAAAAAAAAGAAAAGAGGCCCGTTCATCTTTACAGATCTAGCTAGGCTTGCAAGATTTGAAATCAAGGCAACCCCAAATCCAAATTCTTCCTGCATTGACGGATAGCCGTGGATATAAGGCCGCGATGCGTGAAGTTTGGGCTGAGCTAGACCGGGATATTCGCTGGCATAGATCAATGCAAAGTACCCCGTACCTTGTCGAGTGTGTCAAAAACAGGGGGAACCGACTCTATCCCCGACCGTTGCAGGGAAATGAAACCCACTAGCCTGTAACTGCTGGAACTTGGAAAGAAAACTGTTACAGCTCGAGAGTCTTAAGAGCGGCAAGCCGGCCGGATCGGAATCATGACTTGGTTTCGGTGGAAGTTTGATGTTGGGATGAAAACTGCCGAAGTGCTTTGAGGTGCATGGATAGTGCTTGGTCAAGCTATGGGTTATGGATCGGAGTCGACATGAGCTTCTCATCTTTCTCAACGATGCAAACTACTACGTTGTGTGGGTGGTCTGACAGGGCAAGTCTTTCTCAACGGAGTGCTGCTTGGGTATTTAATTTTTTCTACATGCAGGTCTAATAAACAGTTACTGTCTTGGAAAGATAGATACACTCAACCCCATGACTTCATAAACAGTCACGCTGAGGGCAAATGATGGTCAACAAAAAATACCGAGGATGTGTTGCATACTGCTCAAAGAATCCAAAGCGCCGCTAGCTGGTTTATATCGAGATACAGTAGAAATATGAAGCCATGAAAAAGCCACACAAAAAGCTTCAGTTCGTAAGGTCGTGATTGTCATGCGCGGGGAATGCACTCAGAGATGACGGGGTTTAGGTTTGTTTGGAGTGTCCGTCATCCGGGCTGGGCTCTGCCTCTGCCTCAACTGGGTCGCTCCGGAATTCAGGACTACCGTAACCCATCTAGAGCCAAGTTAGAGAAGATCAACAGCCATCACTGGTTGGCGACGTACCTTGTCGAGCTTGTAATTGACCATTAAGAGACTCAACGGAATGAGGGGGAGGGTGGCGATGACAGCTAGCGTCAGGAGCCGGTTCATGGTCTCTTGGTACGCACGGTTGATGGCAATGCGAGTGGGAGATCCCATTGGGAATGACAGGGCGGTGGTCAGCTTGCCAAAGATTTCAGCAGCTTGGTCCCTGCTTTCCTCAGGCAGGTATTGGAGAAGCTTGTGTGGGACGGCAGAGGACCATACGGCTCCTGAGATAGCGGCGCCGACTGCACCGCCCATCTCCATGGAAGTCAGGAACATCGCAGTGGCTGCTGCGACTTCCTGGTGGCTGGCGGAGGCTTGGACTCCTAGTTGAACGGGCACGTTAATCAGACCACCGCCGATGCCGACTATGATTTGTGTGCCCAGGACTTGGAAATGAGAGGCTCCTTCTCCTCGGCACAGAAGCATTAGGGCTAGGCCGGTCATGTACACAACACATCCGATGGTTATGTAGATGCGATATCGTCGGGTATACTTGATAAGAAGTGATACGCTAAAAGCGGCAATGGTTGAGGTGAAAGAAAAGGTTTGGGTGACGCGCCCCGCAGTGGCAACGTCGTACCCCTGTACAACCTGCAGGTAGGAATAGAGATAAGGCTGAACGGAAAAGTAGAAAGCCACTAGGTAAAATTAGCAACGACACTTCCAAGGTAGAGTGAACATTCAACTTACTGAAATACCAGAACGCCAATGCACATCCTGCAAGAGCAGTTTTCTGCTTGAGAAGGTGTAGAGAGAGCAGGGGCTTTGGGGCCAACTTCCGTGACGACTCCCAGAGCGGTAGAAGACACAGGCAAACAACACCAAGCGCGATCATCACCAAAATGTTGACGTTCTTCCACCCATTCTTTGCAGTGGCCGCAAGAGTCAATGGCACCAAGATTAATGTAACAGCAGCGGACAAAAGGGCCAGTCCACCCACGTCCAAATCGTACCAGGTTCGACGCATGACGCTGACCAAGCCCGTCCGCCTTCTGGTCCGCTTCTTTATCAAGTTCAATCTCTGGGCTTTCCGTTGGTTGAAGAGTAGCGTAAGGGCAAGTGGCAGGAAAGATGCAGGCAAGATAATAGCCCACATTCCATAACCCCATCGCCATGAACTAGTCCGCAGCACCGCGCCCGCAATGGTTGGCCCGAGCCACACCGTAACCAAGAATGGGAATTCAGGCAGAAGGGCGAGGAACGCACGGTTCAGCAAGTCACTACTGTCGGCGATGAAGACTTGTTGGAGGATCTGCAAACCCGTCGAGCCGGCGGAGTAGAAGATTTGGGCAGAGGCGTAGGTTTGAACGTTGGTAGAGCCAGCCATTTGGATATATCCCAGTGTATAGATAAGGATACTCAAACAAAATGCCTCGAAGCGACCGAATACGTCAGCGATCTTAGCCATAGGGGGTTTGATGACAGCTTTAGATCGATTATCAATTAGCAGCCGCTCATTCCTTTGGAGCGGGGTAGTGAACTCTCACCATTGACCACATTTTGGATAACGAGGACGGTCGAGATCAACGAGTGTTTGCTGAATGCACTCGTCGCATATGCAGACAGCGACATCACAGTCTGACCTTCTAACGACGTGCAGAATGCCATGAGGAATATACTTCGCGCCAGGTCAGTAGAGATTCAGCAAAGGCACGAGACTGCAAGCCACACGAACCTGATATAGGCTACCATTAAAGACTTGGTTGTCCAAGTCAGATTGATGGCCTCAATCTTTTGAACTCCCTCCTGCATATCATCTGGTGTAGACAGTCCACTAGCCTGGCCCTCGACCTCGTAGTCGTCCTGCAACAGCTGATCCCTTTCATCCTCCATTCTGGCGTCTTCGTGTTCGATCGCGCCGTAGGACGGTCCTGAGCGGGGATCGAGAAGTGGCATCTCGTGACCGATGCACGATCACCACAAGATCGTACACGTTTTCAACTGGAGTGTTCTTTAATAGACAGCGTCCATATAAGAATAATAGTAACCGGGAAGAGAGTTCGGCCTGGGGCTGGTAAAAATCATGTACGGAAGACGGTGATCTAAAAAGCGGCGATTAAGCGGAAAATAGATCATTAAGGAATAAGAGTTCATGCGACATCAGATGCAAGTGACGGCAGGTGTACCACAAAAATGAGATGAAAGCCTGCTCTCATAGCAGGTAGTTTCGGCGGTCTTCAGCCAAGTAGCCCAAGCCAGTCAGGCCCACTGGGAAAACGAAGCGACAACACGAGATGCCAACAGCGAATCGGAGACCGGATTAGGCCAGAACAAGAAGAAAATAAATATGGGGCGCAATGTGTAAAAAGGTATGGAAGCGCGCTTGCCTCGGGGGTCGACCCATGAAGGGCTATGTAAGAAGAAAGATCCGGTAGGCAGATATGGGGCAAATTGGCAGATGGGTAGATCCGCAGCGCTTCGGAGGGAGACGCCCAAATGTAAGGGGAAGCAGGCCTTGAAGAGTTTAGGCCGGCAAGTCTGAGTTTTTGCTACGCAAAATGACACCAAGCCCGATCGTCGGTCGCACTTATGCACTTTAATGGGGTCTGTGGTGACAGAGATGTGAGATGAGAGGTTGATGTCCGATCTCAGCTCATCCCTAGCATTTCAGGATGATGCACTAAGACAGTTTAAGAAACAGTGTCACAGTGGTAGTCCAGTCATCGTTCTCCGGTAGGTTGAAATGCCCAGGTGCTTCCCAGTGTTAAATTTTTTTTTCTTTCGCAAAGGGTATGGTAAGATGTGTCAAAAAGGAAAATTAATAATGGTGGAGTTTCGGGTACGGGAACCCTTTGATGTTACAATTGGAGGACCCGCGGAACACGTCTGTTCACTTGGTGGCATGAGCTGAGTCTTTGGTACTGCCAAGTCATTTCTTCCCCGGTTCACATCATCAGATAAGATGAAAGTTTGATTTTCCTTTTGATCTGTGTTTCTATGGATTTAGTTCGAGAGGAAGGGATTTCTTTGACTTTTAGCAAGTAGGAAATTCAATGTCTCCACTATCTGGCTGCAGCACGCATTGCTACCCTGCTAATTAACTCCGATCCAGGGAAAGATCATGTAAATGCCGGAATGACGGAGTTGGTCACTTGACCGGGGGCTATATCATTTTCCCTTCTACTCCGTACATCATTCAATCTTGAAAGGGAAGGGAAATTCAGAAAAGGATTGGAAGAACGGATGCAATGGAAGGAATCGCTAATTGACTTTTCTCCACTCGCATCATGTTGACACGCGATTGGTGTGACCTCGGCATCCGAAGTCGGGTTTGTGCAGCGCGTGCACCCGATTGCCGGGATTACACTAAGTATAGTAGGATCAGATAACTCCGATTAGGAAGGGGTAGAATTGTGCCCTCTAACAGCGGTAGTGCACAAACATAGGGTTTCATGGCATCAATATCAAAATAAGAACACGAGCAGAAAGAGGATCCAATGTGGATGTACGGAGTATGTTGTATGTATTCTGCATACTGGGAGAGGTCTAGGAGTAAAATGGAGATTGTCGACACGGAACTTAACCCACCTTGCACAATAAAACCCCAAGTGCTTAACGTGGTCAATGTCCTTGTAGATGTGTGCTCGTGCTAGCTTCACTCACTCTGTTGATATACCTAGTAACTGCCAGCATGGCTAATCATCCGTCATGACAACGATTGATCAATAAACATAGGAAGAAATAAAATTTGCTGACTGGAATCTATCCGCACATCGGCTGATCTGCGCCATGCCAGTCATAACTGGCACATGCACAGGTGGACCTAGAATTCTGTGGAGCCTTGGTATGTCTGCAGCAAGCCGGTATCCTTATTCCTACTTGGATGGGTTATGAATATTCTGCTGTGCTCTATTAAAATGCAAGGTCAAAAGGAATCTTGCCTGACTTCATTCCAATTATCACTGTTCGTCATATATCATCAATGGCTGTCGCCATTCACTCATTGGGGTGTAAAACTAGCAACATCCCACTCATCTAATCCTGGTCTACAATCAAATGACCGAAATTGACAGGCAACTCCCCGCCCTCAATTGATGGCCGGGCAGCATAGATACCAACCCAGAACTCCTTCACATTCTCCTCCGCAAAGACCCAAGTGACCTCCCGGATAGGAGACTTTTGCAAACCCTCAACAAGATAGATCCACAGACTATCATCCTTTTCCTTTACAAGCTCAAGGGTTGCTGCACCACCACCCGAAGGCACTGGAAGTAAGCCCCAGTCCGCCCAGTTGTCTTTGGCAACGACACTGAGGTGGGGTCTGCCGTTGGTAAGTTCAATGCCGCTCTTTACCCACTTCTGGCCACGATTGGCGGTATTGAGGACAAGGATCACGCCGCCCTGGTCATAGTTTTTCTCCCAAGGGGCATTGAACGCGACACGGATCCGCTTGAATGACTTTAGCGGCATCGACTTATACAAGATCGGAGCTGAGAAGCGGGCGGTAGAGGGCGGCTTGGCCCATATATCCGTGGAAGCTGGTGCGTTGATGGTAAACTCTGGGGGAAGGGCACCATTTCCTGGGACTTTGGATTCAGAGTTGGCGAATTTGAATTGTGATGGTGACATGGTGGGCTGTGGAATGCGGGGAAGTAGTGGTATAATCCCAGATAAAGTATGTTCAGTCACCACGTCGTACAAATTTAAACAAGTGGAGGGCTCAAATGAAAATTTGAGAAGTACAAAGCAAGTGGACACAGAGGGGGAGTAAAAAGATAAATGATTTCATCTTGGTGCGAGGAGAACTGGCAGTCCACGGGTGCCCCGACTACAGCTACGTCACTATAAACTGGAACTTCCATCATGTTGCACATTTGTTCATTACTGGAGTCTCCTAAAAGATGAGATGGACAAAGAGCATCTCAGTCTAGCCCTTTTTATCAATGTATTATTCCCATATCTACAACCATGCATACTGAAGTCCAGAGATTTTTAGGCTCACCGTTGTATATCCATCATATACTTGCTGATACCACGTGATCGGACTGATGATGTAAGTTCTCCATGGGGCTGGGGGAAATCACCAACCAAGTCGCATTTTCCTTATCATCAATTATGGCTGCAACGGGCCACTTTACTGGATCAATTTGCAGTTGAAGATAGTCCCAAGGGTGTATACCCATTTGGTGACACGATCCACCATGACTACACGACTACTCCATCCTGATGAGTGGGAGCTTGCCTCACGGTCCTCAGTTGACTCGCAGGGGACGTTCAACCTCGACGAGGCTGATTTTGAAGCTCAAGTCCCATACTCATCTAAATTTGGCAAACGCCATCTGCCCTGGTTATCCCGAATTCTCTCTTCGGCGTCAGCAGGTTATCGCCGCCTGAACAACCCTTCCAGACCGGCCCTCGCAGGCACGCCACGACCGAGCTGTTCTCGACGTTTCTGCATTCGCCGCTGTTGCTACCTCCCCATCGTTGCCGGCATCATTTTTGTCCTTGCGCTCTTTACCTCGCTACTCTTCCCGTCATATACCCATCTGCCCGCGCATTACTCTACACTCCGCAAATCGGTGCTCGAGAGCTCATATCCCGGACGAGGCAATCCCCGCCAGGAGAAGGTCTTTATTGCAGCAAGTCTGTATGATAGTGGTGGCAAGCTTGCTCAGGGCCAATGGGGAACACAACTTCTGGAGTTGATTGATTTGCTTGGACCTGACAATGTGTTTCTGAGTATCTACGAAAATGACAGCGGCGAGGAGGGTGAAAGCGCATTGCGCGCATTAGAGAAGAAAGTGCAGTGCCAGAAATCTATTGTGTCTGAAAAGCACCTGGACCCGAAGAGTATGCCAACCGTGACCATTCCCGGTGGGTCAAAGCGAATCAAGCGCATTGAGTATCTAGCCCAGGTTCGGAACCGAGCACTAGAGCCACTGGCCGACCACCCGGAGATGAAGTTCGATAAGCTGCTTTATCTAAATGATATCCTCTTCCACCCCGCCGAGGTCCCTCAGCTCTTATTCTCAACAAACGCCAACGAAGACGGTGTTGCCCAATACCGTGCAGCCTGCGCTGTAGACTTCGACAACCCCATCAAATTCTACGACACATACGCTACCCGCGATCTTGAAGGTTATAGCATGGGTCTACCCTTCTATCCATGGTTCACTACATCCGGCAAAGGTGAGAGCCGAAGCGATGTGCTCGCCGGCAAAGACGCAGTGCGAGTGCGCAGCTGCTGGGGCGGAATGGTGGCGTTTGATGCCAAATACTTTCAAAAAGGCTCACCGCCCACAACACCTAACCCAGCACGTTTCCGCTCCGGGCACGATCTCTTCTGGGAGGCGTCTGAATGCTGTCTCATCCACGCGGACATTCAAGACCGGCCAACCAACGTCGACGAGATCACCGATACAGGCATCTATATGAACCCATTCGTGCGAACTGCTTATGATCACCGCACCCTGTCTTGGCTGGGGGTTACCCGCCGCTTCGAGGGGCTGTACTCGTTTCTCCACAACCTCGGAAATCACCTCGTCGGTCTGCCTTGGCACAATCCCCGTCGCGCGGAAGTCCCTGGCCAAACCGTGCAGGAAACCGTGTGGGTTCCGGATGCTGCACATGATGGTAGCGGCTCTTTCAAAGTCGTTGATCGGGTTGCGGGCAACGATGGCTATTGTGGTCGTCGCGGCCTTCAGGTAATTGTTGAAGACCGTAAGCCCGGGCAGAAAGGGTTTGAAAACATTCCTGTCCCACTGTTGAAGCTTTAATGTTCTGGAATCAGATACCCATTCTACCCTGCCTTTTTTATATAGATTTGTTTATCCTTTGGTGTCTTTGGTGTAATGATATCTTTGCTGGAGAGATCTTTAAGAGCATAAGAGAAACAAATAACGTGTGGACCAATTTTCACATCTTTAAGGACCTGGGGAATTGACAAAAGTAACCGCTTTTGTGGCCAGAAACGGCTGCTCTTGCCCTGCATAACTACACTTTACGAGCCACCATTCTGCACCTGCCCATCCTTGTTACATGTAGCCATCCTCCGGTCATCCCCAGCTGTATGCCTACCGAGATACCAGATTTTAGACCGAGCGAGATGGCTTTTCCATTCCGTTTTAGTGCTCACCCTTTGTCGCTTTCTGATCGGTACAACTGAGCACGCCGCGGAGTATTACATAATTCTCAAACCCCGCGGGGTGCTTACTGAGCAGCCTGATCGGAGCGTGACTTCAGCTCACTGAGCATGACCTGCTAAGTCAGTAGTTCATCTCAATTACGCGCACCATTTTAGCCCTGCTCGACGCAAGTCATTCTGTCGACGAATTAATCTAGGGTGATTAGGGGGGTGATATCGCTGGCGCGGGGTTTCTCGCGTGACTTGATAAAAGGGGGGTAAAAATCAAATCCAAAATACTCCGTACTCCGTACTCCGTACAACATACATACAACATGCTTCGAAAAGGCTGCAGAAAAAAAAAGGGCATAACCTATGCTAACTCTTTCAGGTCACGAGTCGTAGCTTGTAGCACTTGTTAATACGATCATCCGTGGATCTCCGCGCATGATAAATGATCGTCTCGTTTCGTTACGGATGGAAAGTAATCTTCCATCGTTATCTGCAATTGGCGGATCGGATAACTAGAGCAGCCTACTAGTGACTAAGCGCAATATCTCAGCATTCCCAAAGAACTAGAAGGGATCAGGGCTAGGGACGACCGGTAAATTTTCTCCAAGGTCAATCTGGGCTGTTGCATATCTTCTTTTATAGCAATTTCGGCTATCCGTAAAGCCGAGCAAACCAGCATCTGCTAACCAGGCATTCCGGATTTTTGTTTGCGGGGCTTGATCGGGTCGGCCCGTCCGGGAAATTTATACACTACACTGGGCATATCCTTGTTTTCGATCGTGGCTACAAAAAAAAGAAGAGAGGCCCCAAAAGTGCTGCTAATCAACTCATAGTACTTCGTTACTCTAAATCTCAAAGACACGTGGCACGTCATTGCGGGAAAAGCTCCCTCCCCCTCCCCCCAAAAAACTGTAGAACGGGTTGAGACGAGAGCAGAGACTAGGACTCCTAGACCAGATTATTATATCGCAACGTGGTCTTACTCCACTCCTCGTTGCCACTCATCTGGAACTCGAGACCTTCGACATATGCCGCCAGCGAGGCCGACTGACGCCCATTGGCGCGCAGTTCTTCCACTAAGACCAGGTGGCGAGACTCCAATTCGCGACACATGAAGATGAGCACGCGCTTGGCGGCTTCGATGGAAATAGCGATCTCGTCAGCTAGTATGCGCACGGAGGTGCACAGCGCTCCTCCCTCAGCGTGAGCGGTCTTGGAAGCACGAAGTTCTTTCTCGTAGCTGTAGACATCATTGATGACCGACAAATGCTTGGAGCAATTGGCATCAATCTCTCCAAGTAGAGTTAACTCAACGGGGCTGATTGTTAAGGCCATTGAGAAACGCATCAGGGCGGCCAAGAGACTAAAGGCACAATAAGTAAAGAGAACTCCAGAAAAACACGAAAAGAACACGTAACTTACGCTTTACCCACATCGCGCTCGCGATATTCCAGGTAAGAACCCAGCCCCATTGGTCGGATGCGAGTACGGTCAGTCTGGGCACGCATGAAAACAAAGACCGGCTCGAGAATCTCATTCGCCATCGAACGATCTTTAGCGCGCATGCTCTCCCACAAATCGTAAGTGATATACTCCACCGGCACGGAACGGTCTGGAAGCACATCACCACGGGAAATCGGAATAAGCTTCTCATTATAGGCAGATCCTTGCTCGAGGGACATGAATTCAAGGAGATCTGCATTAACGTTCGGTTAGAAACCACTAATCCTTTTGATCTTGCTTTTCATCTTCTTTTTTTGGGGGGAAAAGGGGGGGGGGGGACGTGCAGTAACCATCAATGAGGAACAAAACCGTCAGAAGGCGGCAGGCAAAGCTAATGCGGTCATCCAACGCCTTCGGAAAGTAAAGGCAGGTGACCCCTGGAAAGTCGGCGGCAACGAACTTCTTGCGTGATTTTTCGGAGGGAAAGTCCCAATGAGTGAGAAAATAATCATTCACTTCGCGGGTCACCTCTGTCATTCGAGGGTGACATATAGGCTGGAGGATGGACGCTGGTGGGGGCTGCACGAATCCCCCAGAGCCTGAGGCGCGACTGACGTTGGACGGGTTCTTCATCCTTGTCATAATACAAGAACGAATACCGGAGGGGATTGGGGCAGAATAGAAACAGATGGATCAATGACGGCTTAGACCTCACCATTCTGACGGGTAAGAATACTGCACTCTATGTAAGGCTTTCTTCGGAGAGTTGCCTATTTCCGACCATCTCCATCGGGAACAGAATCCTGAGACGTTTGAACCTCTGGAGGATTGCCTCAACGAGTCAACCGGAATAGAGACATACCTCAGCTTCTCTTCCGGAGGGACCGAAGGGAGGGATCGGGGAAGGGAAAAGCTATAGATAGCACTATGGCAAAGAGGTGAACATGTGCTCCCACCCTGAATCAAACGCAGAAAAAAAAAACAGACCGATTCAAATCATGATTCAGCACTGGCATGCCTGGGTGGGCGGTGGCATCATCGTTCTAGTATGCTGGCGTCTTTTCCTGACGCTGCAATCACTGCAATCGCTGCGTTGGTCAAAGTCTCCCAGCCGCAACCCGCCGGTGTATCCTTACTGGATTCCATTCCTAGGCCACTCAATTCCATTCCTTCAAGATCCAGGAGCCTTTGTGGATGGGCTCCAGCAACAATATGGCAACCGATCTCCCGTGGAGATCGTGCTGGGTCCCGTACGAGGATATTTAGTGGCGGGCTCCGAGGCAATCGACAAGCTCCTACGCTCCCCCCGCAATCTGTCTCCCAAGCCTTTCATCGCTCTGGCCATGGAGAACATGTTTGGCACCCCGGCTAGCACCATGCCGTTATACCGCCTGGATGATTCGGGGATTGCCCCGACTCCCTTGCCGAACAGCCATGTGGCTCCAGAGCATCGCATCTACTACCATCAGCACAAGTCCGCTCACCGATTCCTCGCGGGTAGTGCTCTCCGCCGCATGACAGAGCGGTTCACGCGTGTTCTCAGCAGGGAGCTGCACCACGATGCTGCCATCGGCCCTGACGACGATTGGGTCCAACTGCCGGATCTCTACACCTTCTGGAAGAGTCGTATCTTCCACGCCGCCGTGCACGCCCTGTTCGGGCCCTATCTTACCCTGCTAAATCCGGGCTTCGAGCAGGACTTTTGGAATTATGTGGATGCGATTCCAACACTCATGATGGGACTACCGCGCTGGATGATCCCCAGGGCATACGCTGCCCGCGATCGAGTCTTCACGGCTGTCAAGACCTGGCATCGCTTTGCGCGCGCTCACTCTGATTACCGCAAAAATGGGCCGGATGACCCTGACTGGGATAAGTATTGGGGCTCAGCCTGGCTCAAAGTTCGACAGCAGTTCGGGCAGGACAGTGGCTGGATGGATGAGGATGCCTTGGCAGCGGAGGATGTCGCCCTACTTGTAGCGTAGGTGATTTTTCTCCCCTCTCTTTCTTTCTGAATTGTTTGGGGGGGAGGGTTCCCGTTATGCTAATCATTATCCCGAACTGTCCTCATTTACAGCGCAAACGCCAATGCTATTCTCAGTGCGATCTGGGTTCTCCTCCACATCTATGCAGACCCCGATCTCCACCAGCGTCTAAAGCCGGAATTTGATCGTGCCATGATTCCACAAGTCCCTGGATCGCTCCTGAGCACCACCCCCAGCCAGCCGACTGAATTTGATATAACAACCCTGGTCAACTCGCCGCGTCTTCAATCGGTCTACGCCGAGGTTCTGCGGATGCGCATTTCCCTCCTACTGAATCGAACCCCCGTGCATGCCGACGCTCAGTTTGGCCCGTGGCGCCTGAAGCGCGGACGGTTCATCGTGATGAGCACGCAGCATGCGGCCCATGACGACGAGGCCTGGGGCCCGCGGCACACGCAAGACGGACGATACCCCCTGGATCAATTCTGGGCAGAACGCTTCCTGGTGCCGGATGAGGGGGGCACGGAGCAGTTCTCCCTTGACGGACTATCGGGCGCATGGATCCCCTACGGCGGCGGCGGGTTTATGTGTCCTGGACGGCACTTTGCGAAACAGGAGATACTGGGCAGTGTCGCCATTTTTCAGTCATATTACGAGCTGGAAGTGGTAGACCGTCCCAAGGGTTGGCTGCCGCGCCCGGACCACCGGTACTATGGGGTGGGCGCTATGCCTCCCGCTGAGCCTATTCCGTTTCGCATCCGGCGCCGCCGCCGCTGAGGAAACTAGACGGATAGCCCCCGAAAGTCATGTTATAGTGCATAGCCGCGCATAACATAGGATCGTTCTTATTCTCACCTAATCGGTATGAGTTTAGTACATAGTTTGAACATGTTTGACCATTGAAAAGTCCTCGATTGTTTCTACATGTTTCTAATTTTACAAGTATGCCTGCAAGGCCTCTTCAGTCCACTCCCACAACCGCTTGGCTAATGCCGCATCCTGAGATGCCTTGTCTAGTTTGGTAGAGAGCACCCCGACCGGCTCATAGAACTGGCCATTCTGTAGGGTGGCCTTGGCGACTGTCGAAGCCCAGAGCTGATTATAGGCACCTTCCTCCGGCTTCAGCAGCTGACCCAAGTTGGTGATCCAGACGAAGGCGCGGTTGAAGCGGCCTAGGTTCTCGACCAGCCCGGTATTCACGACTCCGGGCGTGACGGAGACACTGGTCATGGCCGGGTACCGACGTGCGAGCTCACGCGCGTACAGCAGATTTGCCAACTTGCTCTGGCCGTAGCGGATCCATCCGCCAAAGGCGCTAAACTCCTGCTTGGTGCGCACGGCGTCGAAGACGATTCCTCCACTCGGGTGCATCTTGAACCCCAATGAGGTGAGCAGGATGATGCGCACGTCCGCAGCTTCTGCTGAAGTCTCGAGGAGTGGCAGCAGCTTGCGGATCAGCAGTGCGTGACCGAGATGATTAGTGCCGAATTGGATTTCGTATCCGTCCGCCGTCAGCCCCGGTGGCGTGGCCATGATTCCGGCGTTGCACATCAGAATGTCTAGGCGGGACTCTAGGGCTAGAAACGACTCTGCTGCCTGCTTCACTGAGACCAAGGAGGCCAGGTCACAGGGAAGGAAGGTGACCGGCGTCTTGCTGCCAGCTTTTCGGATCTGCTGGATGACTTTATCCGCGTTGGCGGCCTTCCGGCCACTAATGTAGATGTGCGCGGGCGATTTCTGCGCCAGTCGCAGTGCGCTTTCAGCCCCAAGACCTCCAGTGCCTAGCAGAGGACATAACGAGGACCGACATTAGCTCTTTGATCCATTATATGCAAGGACTGAATGAAGGTATCGGGGCTTTCAGGTTGGTTAGTGGTGTTGTACTCACCGCCAGTAATGAGAATAACCTTTCCCGACAAATCGGGCATACTGTCTGGGTTGTAGGTAATTGTCGGCATGGTGTGTCTGTTGGAGGGAAAGATGAGATGCAGCGATTTCACGAGTTTTGTGATGATGGATCGACTCTATCCTAGTGGTGAATAAAAGAGGAAACCTGATGCTTAAGAGGATAGAAGTGGACGAATAGTCGGCCCGGATTTAGGGAGAACAAGGAAGGCAACCGGAGCGGAACATTACTCGAATCAGTTGATTTCTCATTTTTACCTTGTTACGGACCTCACCAAGTTGAGGGGCGGCAGCTTACAGATCGGCTGCGAGAGCCAACTAGTCGCCACAAACCATGCATTAGCGCAGTCACGTACGATTCCCACACTTCATCTTGCTCCTGGAGCACTCCAGGGGGGTGTTGAAAAAAAAGAAGGCCCTATCTAACTCGGGTAGACTTTACCCCGACAGCCTAACATTAGGCCGACTCTTTGTTAGAGGCCAAATCAGGGCTAGTCTTCCGCAGGATCTAGTAAAACCCAGACCGAGACGGGTTGGGGTTTGGGTCGAACCATTCGATCTAGTGATGGGTCTAGGGCCCAAATTTGGGTTACCAACTATGTGAACACGCTTATCATGTTTATAATCCCTACTTCTTAAGCCAGTTATGACTGCCAAGACCCTAATTTTTGTAAAGACCGGATCGAACTGAGCCTAAATTGAGTTTTCTGGGGCATAAGCCACTAGGTCCAATTTGGACTATGTTCTGAGCTTCCAAACCAGATCCAGACTGGGCTGGGTTTTGGGTCGAGACCCTCGATCTAAAATCGGTCATGTGGAAGACTACTCAGGGGTATGGTTAGGCCGACTCGGAATTAATTAGGCCGACGGCCTATGCAGACATTAAGAGCTTGTGGTCCTTAGCGCATATTAGGGCCTGCCGCTGCAATGAGAAACAGACGTTCTGTTGGTCCTTGTGATCTATTAGGCTAACGTATTTCACCAGTGAGTGGGCCACCTATCTAGACTTCGGCACAACCCACTCTAACCCGGACCTAACCTAACCCAACCTAACCCAAAATGGGGTTTAGGTCCATTCCTTCGACCCAACGATAGGTTTTAGGTTATAGCTTACAACCTAAAACCCATTAGGTAACCTGTTAGGGCCCTAATATAGTGTAAGCTAGATAAATAGACTTCTAGAGTATAACTATGTAATTAATACATTTTTTTACTTAAAATTTTAAATATTTTACTTATAGCGTATATATAAGAAGTTAAAATATAAGAGAAGAGAAATATGGCTTTAATGTAATATTAATCATACGTAAAGATTTAAAATAAGAATAAAACATTTCTATTTACATTTATAGTTATCCTATAATAGATTTACTCCCCTCTACTATGAATACATGTTTTTTAACAGTCTATAGTTAATAAGTACTTAAATTAAGAGAATACCACTTTACTATATTTAAATTTAATTTTTTTCGGTGATTAATATTATATAAAGTCCATAAGCTTTAAATTCGGAGTAATTATCTAAATTTTCTAACTTAACATCGTGATAATATAGTAAAATTCGATAAAGAAACTAGAAAAGTTAAAAAAAAATAGTTTTTTATTTAAATGACTTAGTATTATTATAAACGCTAAGACCTATATTTTATATCAAAAAAGGTTTAAATGGGTTATTATTAGGTTATTAGGTTTAACCTGATGGGTTAGGTTTTAGGTTGGAGGTTCCGGCCTAAAATGGGTTCTGCCGAAGTCTAGGTGGTCGCTTACGGGTGGCTGGTGATATAGTAGTATTAGATAGAAGAACCAGGATAGATAAAGAATGATTGTTTTTTTTAAATAACTTGGGGCATTGTTAGAACCGCGAAGACTGATAATTTATACGAAAATAGGGTTAAATAGGTTACTGTTAGGTTAGGCTATCGATGGCGGAACCCAAAATGGGTTCTATGCAACGGATGATGATCCTTACAACCGGACCTGCTTTATAAGAGATGTGATTCCCCAGACCGAATCAGGGACAAGAAATTGTCTTGACAGAATTCCAATCAAATCTCTTTTTTTACCCACTATTGTATCTTACCCGGTTGACAGGCCATACACCTGAAGATCATGTACCTTTTACATTCTGCCGAAGTCTACTTATAGGGGTTAATTTGATCCTAGTTTTACCAAAAGTAGGGTCATAAGTAATCCTTTCACAAACACCAATCTTTATAAGAACAATTCGGGGCGTATGATTTATAGAAATCTACGGTGTAACAATACATTGGACATTTTTAGGTATACATGAAAGTCCTCTCAACTCTCTAACTAACTAAAATAACACAACCAGCTCTTTTTCCATTCTATACAGACAAAGCTAACTAACCCTAATCTGATATTTAAATAGGCAGCGCTATTATGGCCGTCCGAGTAATTTCTGCGTGTGTATACACTGTTGTCAAACTTTGTATTGTGACAGGTTTTGATAGTTTCTAGTGTTGCCACCGAGTTGTGTTTTTATCTTGGCTTCAGACTGCAAGAGGGCCCGAGCAACCTGCACCTTACCAGGTTGTGATAGTTGAGTCTTCCTGTTCATTCATGCTCTTTCATATTCACAAAAAAAACTATAACTTCATTTAATCTAGCCGGGATGATGATATGAAACACAACCCCAAATCTGATAGAGGACTCGACTCTGATAAGTCGGGCCAGAGCTGTCGCGTGAGCCGCCGATTCCGCAACTCCGAAGCACGTAGCCTCTTCATTTGGGAATCTCGCTGTGCCAAGGAAGGGACTCGCATCATCTGCGCGACGAGTCGATCAAAGGCCAGCAGCTGGGTCAGGATTAATACGCGTACCATAGTCGTCCACTCCGATTCGGTGATGCTGTATTCTCCCAGTAACATTTCCGGGCGCTCCGGTGGTGATGATGCCACAGGGATGACGGGGGTAGGGTATCTTGTTGTGTTTGATGTGATTCTTGTTTCTTCCGCCGGTACTAAGGTAGTTTGTGCGACGACAAGCTTTTCCCTTGTAAGGGTGGTGGGGTCACCTTCTGCCGCCGCTGCCGAGGATGTCAATATAAGATAGGCTTTGACGATGCCGTCGGAGAGGCTCGTCTGGCGCTCTAAAACAAGATTTAAGACCGCCATGTTCTCGGGCCGTTGACGGCAATGGTGACATTGCAGCATGCTCTCGCATTGTGACAAAATCTCGCGGAAGGAGCTCAGATGGGAGTCGAGCTGTTTCCTCTCCTGGTGCAAGCTAGGGTCACCAGAGTCCTCGAGTTCATCTAGGAGAAAGACAGCAATGGTCAGGCAAGAGCATCTGCATCGATCTTGGATGACCAGTACTGGCTTTGGATCTTGAGTGATTGAGGCCGAAGATGGTGTTAACAAGGAGGCAGTTAACTCCCCTGGGTGATGTGGCCAGGGTTTGAGGTTTGGAGTGGGTGCTGGGACTGTCGAGGTGGGAAGAAGGGCATTGGGGCCCAAAGCACCGTCGACTACACCCGCAGAACGCATCAGGGGTACATCATGGCTGGTTTGGTCGTCAGGAACCAAGTTACCCTTTGGCTGAGATGACACATTCCCTAACCCGACCGTCGATGGAGAGTTGTTCGTGCCGTGTGAAAGATGGATATCAGGGGGCATCGATGTGGAAGGTGGAGACCTCCCCTGACTGTCCTGCTCGCTCAAATGCCAATCGAAACTGTTGAAAAAAACTGGGTCGTATTCCTTTTGGATTTCAGCACCACCGACTTGGGTTGGATGCGGGCTGCCACTACCACTAGTGTTCTCGAACAGAGTGGAAGAGTTGAGTGACGGGGGACAGAAGCTTCGGGAGTGGTGATCTGGCCTCAGTTCTGCACTCGCACTGGAGGAGTCACTGGACACCTCATTGTCCATATCGAGTTCATTGGATTTGTAACAAGGAGATTCTTTCTTACAAAGTCGTTTGCGAGGGCTGGGGCCGGAATAGCTACAGGGCACGTTGAGTGTGGTGCATCTGTAGCACCCTGACCGCTTGCCACTGCACCTGATCTGCGTTCTATGTTAGACAATTTATTTAACGCACGGGGGACAGCCAGGCACGCCTTCACCTTTTTGATGCGGCAATTATCGCAGGCCATGTGCTGGAAGCGGCTTATTGGGACCCCAGTGGTTCCTACTCCATGCTCCAAAAACTCCCCGGCTTTATCCGCCGCTTCGTAGCGTAGGGTACCAAACATCCTCTCTGTGAATGGGAGAATTGGCAAATTCAGTATAAAGGAATCGAATCAACCGTAAGGGACGTCCTCGTTTTCCATCCCGTCATTTTATTCCAATGGGCACCACCCCTGTCAGCCTTCTCCGAGCAAACAAATTCTTAGAAAAAAAACTGAATCTCACTCTTAGACCTCCAAAGCTTTGATTTTTCATGCAGGAGGTTAGCCTATCCACTTAGCTGAATATTCCAAGATCCACGCCACGAGCCAACATGCATGATTGTTTAGCCGATCGGATGACATGACTCAAAAAGATAAGCGAATCGTGGGGGCGAAGCAATCGTACTTGAGACAGGATGTATCGTATAGAGAGAGCCAAAGGGCATTCTCCTTCGTCGCAATTTGGGCTCTGAGGCTGCAATCTGTCGCAGCTCCCCCCTACCAAGCCATCACTCGACCACCTATCCCGATTCTTCACTGGAGGGTACCTGGAGGAAACTCCTCCCGGCGTACGGAGTGGAGTAGCGCTGTGGCGTGGAAGGAAGAAAATCGACAGATAAGAAGGCCTGACTCGATCTCTTCAAAGGTAACCTTCCATCAGTGTCTCAATACAGGCCGTTTACTTTCTGGCCTCATCTTTTCCAGTGCTTCATTGTCCAGGACTCCCGGAAGCAATAGTCTTGATCAGTCTAGAAATATGACACACCTTGTGATCAGGTTGATATTAGGATTTTGTAGGTCTTTCATTGTCATGGCGTCCATGCGAAGTGGATCTCAACGCCACACATGCCTTAATCTCTAAGGCCGAGAGGCGCATGACCTGTTGATATGAACCTTCCAGCACCGGCCTTGGGGGGAACTGTACGGAAGCACCGATGAGTTATCATGGTATCCGGGACTTTGCCGGACACTAACCCGAAACGATGTCATATTTGCCACCTATCTCCATGAGTTGGGCACCCTAGCTGCACCGGCGAAACACAGTCACACCACCTGTGTTGTCGTCAACATGCATTAGCGTCTTTGCAAATACCGTATGATTCCGAGAGCTATCATTTTAGCCCTGAGTACGAAGCCTATCTTGCCGGACGAGTGGAAATTATTACAGGGAGAAACGACTCGCTTTTTAGCTTACAGTTCTTCCTGCCTGGTTCATTCGGGGAGGTGATCATGGTATTGAGCTGTCGACAGAGTTAGTGGGAATGAGGTTATCGGGTGAGCAAAATACAGGGCCAGTCGCTTGTAAAGTCCAATTACACTTGCTCCAAGGGCTACGTTTGACAGATTCCTAGACCTTTCAAGTGTAGGAGAAAGACAACCTTGGAAGTGGCTGCGGTGTCTCATCCCATTTGTCGAAATCGGTTTATCGAGATATGGAGCAACCCATTAGACTTTTTGAGATTTCCAGGCAAAGAACACAAAAGAAGACAGTTTTGCTGATGCTCTCGCTAGGCCCAGCGAAGTAGATAGAGCTTCGCACGGCATTGATCGATGCTGACAGCCTTGAACAGCAAGACGGATGCAAGGCCTTCCGTGATCCGGTATAGATACCGAAGGCTAGCAAATCTCTCAATAGTTGGCAAGATAGGGTCGTGTCAGATTTTGATTACCTAGGAAGGGGCGTAAGCACCTGTCACGACCTCTTTTTGATGAGTTGATTGTTTTTGAACATCAAATGTGCACCACCAATTTCCAGATGTACAGTCCGAGTCGATCCCGTTTCCGAAATAGCGAGATGAGACTTTTGAAAGGAACTGTTGGTTCCCACGTCAGAAACTAGATGGTTCTGCGCCCACCCAAGAAGGACATTTAAAGACGATGCGAGTCGTGCGAACCCACGCTACATGCAATTGGGATCCCCTGCACGAATCCTTGCGCACTGCACTAAACGCTGCCGAAATGGGGTGGCAGTAAGCGACATTGATCGGGACATCCATACGATTCACCTGCATTTCTCATGACCAACCCTAGCCTGAACTGTGCAGGACTGTCAAATCAGCATATTGTACTCCGTACACGTGGAGTATGTTGGGCTTATGTTGTACCTTGCTCTGCACTGGGGCGATTCAATTATGACCTCTCATTCTTTGTCGGGGATCTGAATCGCACCAGGGGGGTGGGGATCCTTTGCCGAGGTCCGGCTTACTATTCGTGTGGTATCTGTTGTTGATCCACCACGCCACTGTGCCCTGGAATTCTTTGTACTCCGTGCTTTTCCCGATCTCCAATCGATCAAAGCACTACCCTCCCCAACAAAATTGGTTCTAAAAATAGGCTGCGGCACGTCCGTAAGGATCTGCAGAGATGTCAACATTACGAATATGTTGTATGTCTACGGAGTAGACACTGACTTTCTTGGGCGTGCAAAAATTATGCAATTTTGCTAGTACTCTGGGGGGGGTTCCGGATTTTTTTTTATCAGAATTTGAAACCTTTCCCGATAATCCACAGAACGTTCTGATCCTTTTGGGCTGAAATTTTACTTGGAATTCCCAGGTCTCCAATTCACTATCTTCTATATACCGGATCTACAAGGAAACAATTTCAAATCCATCGGGCAGTGTTGGTGGCATCTGTTCCCGTTAAGTGCTTCTCTGCGTGTCTTTTCCTCCAGTTGGCATTTCTGGGAGTACAAAGACATGCAGAGACTCAGATGTTTTGCTCCGAGGTCGCTTTTGCCTTGCTGGTGCTGCTTGGATTTCGACGAGATCCATGAGTGATCGAAGGTGATCGCATTCTTCATCAAGTGCAGCATCCTCTCCCATAGAGATATCCTCTTTTGCTAAATAAACGACCCCCCCCCCCCTGTGTGCCTTGCAGGAATAGAGAAGACACTGCGGGCGACGCTAGCAAGTACCGGGAAGTCATATTCATGCTCTCTCCAAAAGGCTCGTGGGTGGGCAGGATTAAGCCCCAAGGTCCAATATGCAGAAGAGGTCATTCAAGGATACAGAGAAATCGAAAATGAGAGACCTTTCCATACAGGCACGTATGCAAACGCTTGTTGATCTACCCCTTCTTATTCCCTGACCTATCCCTGGGGGGATATCTTGGAGTCGCCGTAAACTTCCGTGTATACTCCTTGGAGTCACGACAGGATTAAATCTTTGGCATTAGCCGCGTGCGGGTCTGCCGTAGTCCACTTTCACCTGCAAAATCCACTTATCTATTCTCTAGTATATATACATACTGTACATACAAAGGAGACATCACAATCCCCTGATTGACAGCAAAAGTTCCAAGTTTCATAGCGGGAAGCCATGTGCCAGATGGTTCTTCAAAAAACCCTCAGGGTCATATCTGGCCTGTGTCTCCCGCATTCGCCTCAGACTCTTACCCCCGCCATACGCAGGGAAGGGGTCTTGGCCCTTGCCTGCATCGTTGAGAAAGACGAAAGGATGGTATAAACCCAACGGTTCGGTTTGACGGCGGATTGAGTTAGCCGCATCCCGAGAGAATTGATAAATTCTCTCATCGTCTTCTGCATTGCTCCAGGAAGAAGAAATCAAGCCCGCTGTTTCCATTTTGTTAGTCAAGTGGACATCCTGTGATAGGGGGGGGGGAGAAGCTAGAAAATACCAATAAAAGGCCCATCCTCGGGATCTAAACCAATTGCATCCCCCCCCCAAAGCCTGGGACGCTTGGAGCCAAGCCTTGGAGATGGGCTGGTAGCTGAAGCTGATGGTACAGCCGGTGACATTCTTCAAGTCCACCATAGCCTGGTCGAACACCGTGTGATTAGCAATGCTGATCGCACGAGGATCGGGTCGGAAGCTGACGGCCCAGAACAGTTGTCTAAAACGTTTTCAGCGTTTGCACACGGTTTTCAAATGACAACGAAAAGAGGTTAAAAAAGTTGTTAAGGAAACCCACCGGCGATTTTTGGCCGCGTAGGCCGGGGTATCCAGAGCCGTGGCGAGGAACATCCATGATCCAACTTTGGACTCGTGGAGCCGTGTTGGGCCGTCAATCGCTGTGAAATTCTCGAACGCCTTGGGCGATGCAACTGGCTCGGAGTAGAATTCTAGACTGATCACCTCGTAGGTGCCGTCACCCGGGGTGAGTGCGACAATGGGCATAATAGCGGCGTTGACGTCTTCCGCACCACCCCCGGGGGCCATATACGCATTCAGAGCCTCAAACCACTGAGGGGTCGACGCCGACTGCCAGATAGTGCCGCTGGCAAAAGCGTCCCCCACTTCCATCGTCAGCATGTCGTAGCGAGTCACGATGCCAAAATTGTTCGATCCGCCCTTGAGGGCCCAAAAGAGCTCTGGATGCGAGGTGCGGTTGGCATGCACAATTGACCCATTCGCTAGTACAACCTGATACTGTACGACCGAATCCGCGCCCCAGCCCATTTTGCTGCTGAAGTACCCAATTCCGCCGCCAAGGAGCAGGCCACCCACGCCCACTTGGCCGTATCGACCGCCGTTCACAGCCCGACCAGACTGCGCGAGCCACTGGTAGACTTGTAGCCACTTGTTGCCCGGCTCAATTTGCGCAATGGTCTTATTCGAACCTTCGGCGTACTCCAATTGCGACAAATCGTTCAAGGAAATCAGGACGCCCTCGGAGGTGGATGCTCCCGGAACGGGCATGTGGCCCACGCTGATCACTGCGAATGGGGCGTGTGCTTCCTTGATGAGAGGCAACGCAGCCGCAACGTCGGCGGCCTTTTGAGGGAGGAAAACACAACTTGGTGAGAGGAGGCATGTCTCGGACCACGGCAAGGCGCTCTGATTGGCATAGGTGGACGTATTGGAGCTGAAGACTAAGGAGGGAAACTTGGCGGCCAATTGGTGGCAGGCTGCGACGCCTCGGTTATAGCCATATGTGGGTTTCTCCGGAGCTGCCTGGGCTAGAGAGGTTGTCGCCAACAGGCTAGCTGCTAGCCACGTTTGCAATGAGCGGGATGCAAGCTCCACCAACATTGCGACGGATGGGTTATTGATTGAACAATTTCCTAGATGTAATGGAGTTCGAAGCTCTATTTAGCAAAAGCGCTTTATAGTCATCGATCGCCATCCGAATAGGGTATGGTTACCATGCCACCTGGTTTTGTTCCCTCCATGCAGGTACCGAGACTAGATGGACGTCATGAGGGTGTCCTCGAGAGAAACCCGGCGAGTTACTTATTAGGGAAGGGATCCGAGGAAGATCAAAACGCAGTCAGACGGTAAGTTCCCGCTTCTGGACAATTTCCCTTGGGCCCTGGAGCGGGACGCAGTTCCGTCAGCAGTCGGCTCTTGCGAAAACCGGCTCTTCAAGCGTCTCATCCTTTCAAGTCCCTGACTCCAATTCAACACCGGGAAGATTCGAACTGATTCCCTTCCACTTCATCTCACCCGTCTAGTGTTATACCATCTAAACTATCTAATCCTCAAGAAGCTTTTGGAACCATAGTATATCATTTCGATATACTACAATATCTATACATGGTATTATACTCGGTAACCACGCGTTTGGTGATGTATCGTCCTAGGTGAAAACACCATGAAAAGGGGTTCAAGTCAATGGATAATGTAATCTAGTGTCTCCAGTAGTGTTGAACTACCTCCTATCTATGCCTAAGGAGTGGCTAATATCGCCGTCTCTCACTATCATCATCTATGTCCAAGGAAGCGGCGGAAATGGGGGAAACATTGACCCAGGGAGACGAAGCATTTCAGTTCACACACAGATACTAAATACGCTCTTTAAAGATCACGTGAATCGGTGCTTTCCACCACATAACGTGACAGTGGGATTCACCCTCCCAATCCAATCCCTTGTTTACCAACTCCATCTCATATTTGTAGATCAACTTGGCCAAGATGGATGACATTTCCGTATAGGCAAAACTAGATGGTCAGTAACTTTTTTTTTCTCAACAAAGTTTGGAACTGCCTTACTTGCGACCGATACATGCTCTAAGTCCAAGTGAAAATGGCTGACTAGCCTCTTTGAGGTCCGCACACATGGGGTCTGTCCAACGCTCTGGCACGAAGGAGTCGGGATTCTTGAAATACTGCGGATCATGTGTCACGGTCCATGCGCTGGTATAGACTTCGGTCTAGTGAAAGATTAGTCATTCGTGGATTGAGAGGAATAATAACGGCAGGTCCTCACTCCTTTGGGGACGTAATATCCGTCAATGTCAATCCCTGGTGACACCCGTGGGAAGCCCTGCGAGCCAGGCGGGTGAATGCGAAGTGATTCATTGATGACGGCTTGCAAATATGTTAGCTGGAGAGCCGAGGCAGCATCGATGTCCTCGTAGCGTTGATAACGACCACGAATCTCCATCTTGAGCTGTTCGTATGCATGCGGAGTCTTCAAAAGGTAATATGTTGCTGCGGCAAGACAAGTGGCCACCGTCTCTCCTCCAGCGATGCTAGGATCTTGTTAATAACATGGCCATTCAGTCAGGAAAAGGGGATGATATACATAAGAGTTGAAGCGTGAGCCGTCATTTCCTCCTTGTCGATCTCACCACTTTTCACTTTTCCTGCAATATTTGTGAAGAAATCCTGCCGAGCGGAGGTACTACTCAGACGCCTGGCATCGATACTCAGCATCGTCGTTTTCATATTCCAAGGGAAGTTAGATGGGAAATCATACTCTTCAACCTTTGCCCGACTGTACCCGGAATGACGATTGCGCACTTGAACGGTCAAACGGGGTAAAAGGAGCTTACCCACGGTCGCCAATATTCCAAAACGCCGCAGATTGTCAACCAACGTGATCTCGAGAAGGTGGTCGAGGATAAGTTTGATCCAGAAATGATGTTCCTCTGAGGCCGGGCAGGGGGGGGTCAGTTGTCATGAACCATCCAGCCACTTCTTCTCCCAACTTACCACGTTCAATGCAGTGAAAACTCTCCCCAAACGCCATCTCTCCTAGAATGTCAAAGGCAAGCATCTCATACCACTCGACGACGTCTAACCCAGTCTGACCACTGAGAGTGCTGATCTTGTCGACAAAAGCATCAATGCATCGCTGAATAATCCCATCCTGGGCCTGTAAGGCTTTTGTCGAAAAGGCCGGGGTAAGATTCTTCTTCTTTTGGGCATGAACCTTCGGAGTCCGTTCACTGCCAATGCAGCCGGTCTTGAACCCTGCCCCGTAGATATCATAGAACTCGCCTTTGATCAGGTGCAAGCCTTGACCCGCGGGCGCTCCGTATATATGTTTCCAGGAATTGATGGAGGCAAAAGAGAGTTCGTTAGGAGAGACTCGGAAGACGGGGCCTAACTGAGTGAGGCTGGGTTAGAGAAGTCTTTTTGGGTCGCCCGAAAGAACACAGGTGCACCCCCTTCATACCGTAGTGCTGGTGCATCTCTTGAATTGAACGATGGCTACGACCCCGCATAGTGTGCCAAAACCGCCATAGTAACGATGATCTCGCCAGAAAGGGCCCGGGAAAGACGGCGAGCGGATGGAAGTACAAGTTATATAGTGCATACCCCACGATGTAAGAGACCGCCTACTCTTTGGAGATTTAACAATAAGACGGATTCAATCAAAATGTTCAGGGAGGGGAGGGCATACCAGTACTAAGACTGCTTGCCACCATATCCACGGCTGGATTGTGGCTAGCCAACAACCGATTCGTTGAATTGTATCACTATCCATGATGATGTTGTGTCTTGTCAGCTTTGACGGAATGAGTTTTATGAACCTGACCCTTATAGGGCTCTATCCCTGATCAAGGAATTTGGTCTCAGCCATCCCGCCGCCAATCGATTCCCAAACAGGAGTTTGGCCGACAATTCGGCCATTTCCCCATTTAAAGGGTTCCCACGACCAGGTCGGATCTGCACGTAGGTTCTGCTTTTGCACACTCACTTTCAGATTCACAGTTGTCACATTCCACATTCGATGCCCAAAATGCGGACGGATCCACAATGTATTCATCTAAGTCCTATGGACAATGTCATGCCCCGGTTTTATGCTCGACTCATCTTTGCCTTTCGATGCTCGTCAAATCACGACCATCAAAAAATCCGAGATTTGCTAGAACAAGGGCTTCGACGCACCAGTGCAGACATTCCGAGTGTTGCGGGCAAGGTGTTCACTAGGCCAGTCACTCCAGACCGCGCGGGCCAGTTGGAAATGCGGGTTCATCCCAGCTATTGCCCTACTGTCCACGCCCGAGAATTCTCTGAGCTGGACTATGATGAGCTTCTGGATGAAGGCCTCCCGCAAGACATATTGGATCCCAACATTTTGTTTCCTGTGATTGGAGCACCGGATTCAGAGCAGGGGGCCCCGGCTTTTCTAGCTCAGGCTAACTTTGTGACGGGGGGCTTGTTGCTTGCAGTCGGCTTGTATCATTCCGTGATTGATGGCACAAGCGGGGTCTGGCTAGCAAAGAAATGGGCCGAGCATACCCGTCATTTACAAAGCGTCACAGAAGACAGAGCGTTGCTGGAGATCATGCCGCGGAGTACGGACCCGGGAGTATTGGAAGATCTCTGGCTCGCTCAAGGATACAGCCCACTTACGGTGGAGGAGCTTAAAACTGGAGCCAAGGGTTCCAATGATCCATCACTCTGGCGACTTCTGGGACTTGATCCATTAAATACCCCGCCGTCCCCACCACTCATGGTGGAGCCAGAGGAGCGAAAAGAACGGCCAATGCAGTCGACCATCTTCTATCTCTCGCCACAAGCTTTGGAAGATTTGAAAAAAGCTTCCACAGAGGAGCCATTTGGGAGGGTGAGCACCAACGACGCTCTGATGGCTCTACTGTGGAGGTCCATCATCCGTGCGAGGTTTCCAAGTAACACGTCATCAACGGATACAGATGAGGCTATTCTCGATACCACCTACGATGGGCGAGCGGGATTTTCCCCAGACCTTCCCTTCACCTATATGGGGAGTCTGATCTTCACCTGTACTGCTCGGATGCAACGATCCCAGCTGGTATCCCCCACAGCGTCCTTGGCCTCTGTAGCGCATGAAATCCGTCAGGCGGCCAAGAATATCGATTCATCCCGTATGCATGCAGCGTTCGGTTTGGCAGTATCGATACCTGATTACACCAAGCTGACCTATCCGTTTGCCACATTTGCCGGGGCGGAAGTCTGCATTACCTCCTGGATCGCCTGGAGCATGTTTGATCTCGACTTCGGACCTATATTCGCAAACGGGGGGCGGCCGGATTTCGTACGCCCGCCTAGGCAAGAGTTTGATGCTGTGTGTCGTCGATGTGTTGTTTTGCCTTTGCAGAGTCATGGAGGCTGTGAGGTTCTTATTTCCTTGGTTGCAGATGAAATGCAGCGATTGGAGCAAGACCCGGAGCTTGCGCGTTTTGCTTGTGTGGCGTGCCATTAAGTTCATCGTTGATAGATTACTATAACGCGAATCTCAGGGGAAAAGTTCATTTTCATATCTTTTACTAGCTCAAGAGGCTCTTCAAGGCCACATATAGCTTATTTTCCAGAATGGTGGTTTTATGTGGCATCCCAAAGAGGAAAGCCCCGAACATATTTCCATCGCCGAAAGATAAATCGCCTCTGATTTTTCCTGATCTTTCTTTCTCTCATAACTATACCAAGACAAGAGCAAACTAAGAAAAATGACAACGTCGGTTTTTTTGGTCATTTCTTCGGCCTTGAGTCTACTTGCCGTGAGTCTGGTGTATCGAGGCGTGGCCTGGGGCCTGAACATTAAAGCGGCCAAACGAACAGGGCTTCCGTATGTCTTATCTCCCATTCATGAGCTCGAATTTTGGGCGTATCTGACAAATCCATTATTGCGGTCGTGGCTGGGTGGCCACGTCTTGTCGGGACTCGGATGGCCCCGATGGGCGCGATTGATGATCAAAGACTGGACATACGAGGATCGAGGCCGAGCGCATCGAGAGTATGGTCCAGTATTTCTGGCGGTCAGTCCAGCTGGTTTAATCTGCTATATTGAGGATCCCGATACAGCAATGGCAGTTTGCACTCGGCGGAAAGCATTCATCAAGCCTCCCAACAAAATGAGTACGCAAAGACGATCCCCCCCCCCATTCGACAGGCATACCGATTTCCTCTGCTGACAACTTCAAATAAGAAATGCTCGAACCTTTCGGTCCCAATGTGGTCTCCACCGATGGTAACCTATGGAAATCTCATCTCCGGGTCACTGTACCCCCACTACAAGGCGATGCTGTGCATCGAACTGTTTGGACAGAGACTTTGCATCGAAGCGAGATTCTGGCCACCCGCTGGAAAGCAGCAGCAGAAGGGAAAGCAGCACCTTCCCTCCGGGATGGGGTTTACGATTTGACAGTCAATGTCATGTCCGTTGCGGGGTTTGAAAAACAGTCACACCAGCAACTGGAGAAGGGGGAGGAAGAAGAGGAGGATTCGACTTATTCTTCACCCCTGGGCCATCATCGTCTGTCGCTAGTGGAGTCAATCTTCCTGGTAGTGACTAATCTGCCCATTTTCGTGCTGGTCCCGGCTTGGCTAGTCCGATTCTGTGCGAACACGGTATATACGGCGTATTCTGAGTTGAACCAGTACATGGACGAGCTTCTGGCTCAAGAAAAGGCCGTTACAGAGAGACGCCAGGAGGCCAAGAACACGACTAGGGCCAAAGGAAATCTACTCACTGCCGTTGTCGAATCCAACAATCAACAACCGGAGCTCAAGACTTCGGGCGCAGTGTCAGGTCCTGTAGGACGCACCCGGTTAACAGATGTTGAAGTCAAAGGGAATGTGTTCATGCTCCTATTGGCAGGTATGGAACCACAGCTAGTTATATTGAACCCTACAAAATGTCACTGCGACCAAACTCATGCCCACAACAGGATACGACACCACAGCTAATACGATACTCTTTTCGACCATCGTGCTATCACTGAATCCTCCCATCCAAGATGCTGTCATTGCTGAGATCCGCCAGGTGCATCGTGAAGCCGTGGCTGCCGGGCGATCTGACCTCTCTTATGACGAAGACTTGCCTAAATTCCGTTATCTATTAGCTTTCATGGTACCTACAAGATTATTATCTTCCTCCGCCCCATGAAAGGAGAGAGAGCTAACTCGTCACAAATTTCCTTTCAACTGCAGTACGAAGTCATGAGGGTCTTTCCTATCGTCATTCCTATCACCCGATTAGCGGTCACAGACCAGGACCTTGTTGTCGATGGGACCAAACATACCCTTCCTGCCCAGACACTCACTATCGTCAACAATACGGCCATTCACCACAATGAGGCTAACTGGCCCTATCCTCACATCATTGAGCCTCGACGCTGGCTGACGACCAACCCAAACACCTTTGACCCGACCAACACCATAACCACCAATACGACTTCTCCAGATGATCCTCATCAGCCAGCAAAAACAACAACCCCCCAGCCTACGGTCACCTCCGCACGACCGGGGACAACACATCGTCGCGGAACCTTTATGACTTTTAATGAAGGTCCTCGCGCATGCCCTGGGCGACGTTTCGCCCAGGTTGAGTTCGTCGCGTTCTTTGCCCAGTTACTGCGGGACCATCGGCTGGGGTTAGTGAACGACTCAACCACAGATCGGGAAGATTTGGAGCGCCAGATCCGTCTGCTCGGGGGAGGCTCACCGGTCACATTGGTGCCCCCTGTCGATGTAAAAGTTTGCTTATTAGCATGTTGAGGATTTCTTGCGCTACGGAGGGGGGAAGGGAGTGAATGTGTGTGTGCTAGGCAATCTAATAGGTTATGCTACCGAGATAGATTCATGAAACAACCACATTTCAACAAGTCTCCCGACACTTCAAAATTCTACTTTCGGGGTTATGGACCGATTAAATGACCTTTGAATCGTCTTAAGTTGAAAGATTTTCTGATTTTCCTTCTAGAGACCTATCATAAAATGAATCTTCGCGTATTTCTTAACAAAAGATGGGGTTAAGCCTAGTTCTGGTGGATTTGCCAAATCATTTACAAGTCCCTCCGCAAAAGTTGTCGGGGATTCGGCCCTACGCCCGCGATTTTAGCTACGCGTCAGTTTAACCCACCAACTTTAACCACCCACTATACCACCAAGAATACCTCTACATCCTATTAATTCAAATTGTAGGCGTAGAAACGATCCATCTCCCTACTTTATGGGCTAGATTGCTGGCTAGCATAAAGCGAGGCTACCAATTGCTACTCTTATGCGATACTATGATTTACCCGAGTTGACCGTTAAATATACCCTTAAATAAGATCCACTCCGCTACGAAGGTATAGCCTACCTCGCTCTAGGCGTCCCCCTATCCTCGTAGAGGGTGATTTAGAGCAAGTAAAAATTCTATTAAAATTAGGAAATAGAATATTTGCCCTTGGATCTTCTGCCTTAATAACCTTTACGAAAATTTTAAATTAGAATACATTACTAAATACGAGAAGTAAAAAAAGATCCTTAATTATAATCTAAGCGGTGATCTGGTAGTAGTTATGTAAAACTAATTAATAGTGTAAGATAAAACCTCGGCGTAGAATAGCTATTCTTAGTGGATATAAATTTAGATAGGTATAGGATCCCCGAAAACTTTTACGGTAGAACCATATCCTTATAATAATAGACCGAAACTAATAACTATCTCTTAGCGAAATCGATTTCTTACTCTTAGGAAATTTAAAGACCCAAGGGAAGTGGGCCAAGATAGGCAGTTTTACCCTAAAAATACGGGAGACTTTGGTGTGTGACACATGATAGGCTATATCATGAAATCATAGAAGAAGCTTTAAGCGGAGAGGCGCTCGCGTAAGAGGCTCTCAAGTGATCTAAGGGGAGATTCTGTTTTCTCCTTCCTCCTTGTTATGGAATAAGCCAGGTGGTGGTAAAGATGATCTTACTGTTATGGAGTAGCTACATAAGATAACCTATCCTGCTTAGTGATCGATGCCTTCGTCATACCCCAGGCCCTCACATTCTCTAACTTTGGAATTTTGGTTCCACCGCACCCACCTGGCGCCCAGACAAAACTTGTGTTTGATTTCTTCTTGATTTTCTTAATTTTCAGAAATCTCAGCGTTTCCATCTTGTTCTATGTCTTCTGCCGAAAGTCAGTCGCGGCCTGCTGCAACCGAGTAAGAGCCAGATTCTCCCGGCCAAACCAGAACGGCCGAAGATCCGCGATAGGTTCCTCCAGTTCAGTATAACAGTCCCCCAGGGTCAAGATGATGCGCCCATTCCATCGTTCCTCCTTCTCCTGGGAGGTGGTGGTTGGGTATCGTTCGGCCTCCGTCTCCTTGCCATAAACGTCGACGCGCCGGGGCTGAGTGGCCGTGGCCGAGTATGCCATAGCCAACCCCACAAAGTGGGCTGAGCTAACCGGTAAGCCGTGAGCGATAATCGGAGCGGCGAGGTGGGCGGGAAGAAGGCTAGTGATGGTGGCCGCCGGGGCGACACCGTTGATGGTGATGCCGTCTTGGATGGTCACGGATCGAAGTGCGCGGATGAGACCGACCAGCTGATTTCTGTGTTAGATTTTCCGAGGATACAAGTCAGGGAAAGGGGTAAATAGGAAAGAGAAGAAATAAAGAAAGGCCTACTGCCAATTTCCCCGCCGCATAGACAGGCAAGGTTTGTTCCGGTGCATAGGCGGTGGCACTGGTGGTTATGACAATACTGCCCTTAATTTGGTGCCGCTTCATGGAGCTCCACGTCAATTTGACTACATTCATGGCCGCCCGGAGGTTGGTGTCAAGTACGTCGTACGTTGGCTCCTCCAACAACCCCGTGGCCGCATCCCATGTGTCCGCAAAGTAATTTGTCGACTCGGAAATGCCTGCATTGGCGAAGACGAGATGGACCGGCCCGATCGAGTCGAAAGCCCCACAGAGATCGGCCCATTTGGAGACGTCGCATTTGTGCACTACCAGACGCGGGTTGTGCCGATAGGACTCAGCGTCGTCATCTCTTGGACTGTTCCGATCGAGGATGTGAACGGTGGCTCCTTTGCTGGTGAGGACCTGAGCGGTGGCATAGCCAATTCCAGATGACCCTCCTGCATGAGGGATCAATGGATATTTCCCCTCCCTTCTCCCGAAATTACTCAAATTGATGCATACCTGTGATAATGGCGACGGTACCGTCTAGTGGGGGGATAGATTGTTCGGTGATAGTCAAAGAAGACATGTTTAGCTTATAGTTCACAAAATGAAGCGCCCTTTCAAGGGAAAGGCGTCAGACGTGGGTGAGGCGGAAGGAAGAATATAGATAGATGGAAAGAAAGATATAGAGACAGATAGCAAATTTAAGAACAAAGATCCTATAGACATATCGATGTCAGATCTGGATAGTCTCACGTGGGTTCCGAATAGGCAGTCACCCGGTCTCCGTCCAGTCCCAACTAGGACGAGCTCTTTCGGGGAACCGCCCGAACTGGCAAGCGGGGCTTTTGCCACAACGTATGCATGAGTGAGTCTCGGTGCCAATCCAGTCCCTTGTCTAGCAGTTCGAAGTCATACGTGAACAGCAATTTGCACAGGGTTGTACGCAGTTCCATCCATCCTAGACTGTCATCTGGGTCAGATTGTGTGGGGAAACAGGTGGTAGTATCTAGTCAGGCAATAAGCCACAAAAATCACTCACTGACGACCTAGACAGCCCCTTGGGCCAAGAGAAAAGGGCTGACTGGCTTCAAGAATGTCGCGCTCATTTTTACCCAGCCATCGTTTCGGCTCGAAGGCGAAAGGCTGCTCAAAATTGGTTGGATCCAGGCTGGAGGCAATCGGACTTGTAGATACGATCGTCTGTTCGCTAGGGTCAACGAATGCCCTCGCCTGAAAATATGGCAGAGCAACCAAGGTGGGATATACATACGCCTTCCGGTAAGAAATGGCCATCAACCGTGTCGCCACCTTGAGGAACGATACGGGGAAGTGCCAGGGGAAGTGGAGGATATATACGTAATCCCTCAAGAATGACGGCATGGAGATACTTCAGCTGGAGCGTGGACGAGGCGGTGATCTCGTCATATGAAGCGAACGCTGTCCGGCACTCGTCCTGTAGCTGGGCGAGCACCGTCCTATTGCGCATCAGGTAGTACATGATGCACGACAAGGTTGTCGCAGTGGTTTCACTGCCGGCCAGGACAAAATCCGAAGAATGGGCTGCAAGCTGCAAATCCGACACCTGCGCCGGATTTCGTTGTTCCAGGATCCTAGTCAAAAAGTCCTTGCGATTGGTCGCTCGTTGGATGCGTCGCTGTACGAGGTCGATTGCCATCTGCTCATTCTGCCGGGTCTGCTCGGTAAGTTTCTGGATCTTACTCGGATACAGAAAGTTCACCACCGTGGCCACGGTGGGGAATCGTCTGAATACTTCGGCCAAGCTGCCTTGGGTCAGAGCTCCCAGAGTGATGGAAATCCACGGGTGCGGCTCAACTGTGGCACAAGTCAAATCACATCTGAAGAGAGGATACAGAGTTTTGGTTGGCTTACAAGTTTCCACACCACGAAAGGTTTCACCAAAGGCCAAATCCCCGATAATGTCAAAGGTCATCATCTCAAAGCCCTTTCCCAGATCAAATCCGTGGACCCCCTTGACCCCCGTTTGCTGGACAAATTGATCGATAGTCCTGGCGATCAGGGGTTCCTGCTCGGTAAGAGAATGATCGGAAAAGGCATGTGAAAGGTATCGCCGCATGATCCCATGTTCGATGGGATCCCGCTCGCTGACGAGGGAGTGAACTCGATCAGCGAAACTGCCCCCGTCATAGAACTCACTCTTGAGGAATCCTTGATGACCTTGACGAAACCCATAGATGTCCTTCCATGATTGTGCGGTGTTGAAAGAGAGCTCGTTCGGTGCGGTACGCACAACGGGGCCTATTCGGGGGAATGGAAATGCTCGAGTTAATCTGTGCCCTCCTTCTTGTTTGCGGGGGGATGTGGGATTATTCGCCAGATACCGTATTTGCGATGTAAATCAAGCAGCATATATGGTTGACGACCACTTAGGAACCAAAAGCAATAGGGCCCCTAATTTTGCAGTCAGTTGAATTGTGTTCGCAATGGTATTCACACAGGTCATTGTGGGGGTTTGGAGGGGGAAAAAAAAACACACATTGCTGACTGCCGCAAGTTTCGGACCCGGAAATCGAGCAAGTGGATGGTAGTAGAGATTATAGAATGCTGTCCACACCCAACGAATGATGTACTATAGAGAATTCGGTCATAGGTTGGTCCAGTTCGCATCCAACACTATACGGTACTGATCACTTACTCCTCCTGTCCAAATGGCGGCAAGTATATACAGAGAAACACTCAAGAAACCCATCTTTTGAATGAATCTTGTAAGTTTGCAAATTTACAGCTGGTACTGAGTTTCTTCTGGCTAAAGGAGGAGGAAGAAGTCCCCGACGGTGGCTCGAAATGAAGAGATGTGCCATGATTTGTCTGATTTGATTCGGTCTCGGGAGTTACCCAAAATGGAGAGCCACCGGGGCTTTCTGGAGCTCCTCCATAAAGGTATTAGCTGGGTAAGTTAGGGCAAGAATCCATCTTTATCCTTAAAGTGAAGTATGGCTGTGGTCAGTTATATACTTGTTCATTTGCTGTCATTTGCTTTAGTTATTTCTGTTTATGTGCTGTCTATTTATCTTATTAGACTATACTAATGAAGAGTTGTATGCGCCTGATTCTGGATTCAACTTGACGCAAGAAACTCCCTCAACTTCCCAAGTCCACAGTGTTTGGATCATTTCGTCATGGGAGATATAGGCACTCCTCTGGCCGATGGGGTGCACTCCGATATATTACCGCAGACCATGCCCATCGCTATCGTGGGAATGGGATGCCGGTTCGGAGGAGGCATCACCAGCCCCGAAGAACTCTGGCAGATGGTAGCAGATGGTAAAAGTGCTTGGTCTCAGATTCCCCAAGATCGGTTCAACCGAGAGGCCTTTTTCCATCCAGATTCTCAAAGGCTAGGAACTGTGAGTGCAAAACCAGAGGGCTAGCATGGATGTTTCATCGCTAATTCGCTGATTTTTGCAGTCGAATGTGAAAGGTGGCTGCTTTTTGCAGGAGGATGTTAGCTTGTTCGATACCTCTTTCTTTGGCCTCACGGCGGAGGTGGCTGCGGTAAGTTGGCTCAACTCTCTCTCTCTCT